TCATACAGATTTTCAGCAACCATCTGCCACTGTAAAAAATATAATATAATTCTCTCTCTCTCTCTCTCTAAATATATATATATATATATATATATATATATATATATATATATATATATATATATATATATATATATATATATATATATATATATATATAATATAATATATATAATATAATAATATATAAATATAATATATATTATATATATATACAAAACACCCCAATCAAATTTGTTGGTCAGTTTGTCATTGTGTAGGCAAAACACACACCATCAAGCTTGTACACAAAAGAGAAGGACAAACTAGGCAAATGATACGGTTGTGAGCATCCCTAACACCAGCTATAAATACCAGACATTTCTTACTGCTCTCCCCTGCTTTCACAGAAGCACCCACAAACACCTTGAAATTTAACCTGGGTATTGTGTGATTTACTTAGATTCAAACTAACACTGATTCCCATGCAGATGGCTTACAATGAGGAACACTTTTTAACAGCCTTGGTGAGCTTTCGAAGACCACTGTATTGTAGACGTAACCTGCTCCAGCAGGGTCTCGGGGTTAGAGAGGGGTGCAGAAAAGGTCATTAAAATCCTAGTGACCTTTTCACTTACAGGCTGGCGCCACTCCACTCTAAACAGTTGCTCTAATGTTAAACCCCTGATGTCTATGGTTTCACCAGCAACAAAAATCACATGACCAACAGGACGCACTGCACCAAAGTGAAGACAAGCGCATCCAAGGTGTATGTTAAATGCTGCTAACCTATATAATTTACTAACTGATCCCATTTTTCTTGCATAAAAGAAATATATTAGCATGCAGGTGTTGGAATGTAACAAAAACAATGACCAACATTTGTCACTTCACAGTTTTTGATTATTACCGTGTAATAAACAGCACAGCCTCATCCATTTATAACGTATTTTGTATTATATTTAACATTAACAAGTCAACTAAGTTTGTATTCTAAAATTTGATATATTCTTATTGCATTTGGAAAACATATCCAGTCTTATGATCCACAAAAGGGATTGGCTCCACATACTAGCCACATTAATCTTATGGCTGAAACTCAACAACAATCATGTTATTGGGGTTAAATAATTGTATCACTTTTTGGAGCCAGTGAGAAAAAAAAAAATTCACTTGTTTTCATTTGTCCTGAAGAAAAAGAACATTAAAATTTGTGTGAGTTTTGTTTCAGGTGAATGGGCCCAGTAATTGGCCCAGTAATACACTATTAACCAGGACAAAACATCTGCAATGTGACAGTTAAAAAGCAAATTCTTGCGTAAAACCTGGCCAGTCGTCCATCTCAATTAAAACTATGGGGATACAAGCAACTATAGGATTCTGCATGCTGTGGTGGTATCATTAATTATCCAGAAAAAATATTAAAATGATGCATAATAAAAGGCTTGGACATCACAGATATTTGAGATGCCTCATGTTCTATAGAGATACAAAATCTGAGAGCAAAATGAAGTTAGGTATCAGTGCTGAATGCACATGAGAGGGATTATTCTGCCATCTGCTGGTGCTTTTGTAGGAGAAAAGAATAACAGTTACCTGTCTGATCTTATTGGTAATAACAGATGGTAGCTTCACTTTTAATTGTTCAGTTTCTTTGTAAGATGCTGGAAAGCCACTCAGGTAGGCCAAAGTCTGCATGCGGATCAGACCTGGGGCTTCTTTATCTGTGGTCTAAAGGACATCAAATAAAGTCAGTTATTGCTGCTTTTTTGTTTGTTCAAAATCAAATCCAAACACTTACCAGGTAGCATCTAGAAAGCATAAATGTATGTTTCTCTCTAGAGGCAGTAGAATAGGCCTGATCAGCTAAAAAAATAAAGAAATTTATGCTGAAAAGGAAGTACCAACAGATATGCAAGCAAAGGTCACGGCTAAATTATTAAAATCAACTAACAGTAGTAGTAAAGGTAAATAGTTTTTCACAATTTTGATTATTGTAACAGCACTCATAAAATCCTCATGAATATTAATTTGACAACTGACAAAATGTGGTTTCATGTCTAATGTACACAACAGCATTCAATGTATATCAAGTAACATACTAATCACAAGTGGAGGATGAATGGTGTGTTATGACCTTACCTTCAGTCTGAGAGTGGAAGACAACTAGAGAGACAGCAGTGGAGGGATGAGAAGGCTTGTTCATAAGCAGCAGCTCCTTGGCTTCAGAGAAGGAGGGAACAACAGATGGCAGGTCTTTAACTGTAATGTTGGCGGGCAGAGCAGGGTCCAGAGCGAGGATTGGTGCTATGATGCAGTGGGAGAGCAGGCATTCTGGCTTCAAGCTAAAAAATAAAATATTTCCACTGTCTGTGTTCTTGGGTCATCTCATTCATTGTTCAATACATGACAGATGAAACAATTCTTTTTGGGGTCAATATTTATGGTGTACACCATTTCATATACACATTATTTGTACAAATTTTTGGTTATTTTTACCAATGATACAATGATAAGATTAGAGCTGTAGAAGGCTGAATTATACTTCTATGGCTCATTATACACACAGTGTTGTATTCTGCCATATTTAATGCAGCTTGTGGGAGTTTTTTTTTTTTTTTGCAACATTTTACATTTCGAACATAAAATCTGCTTTATGGTTTGATTTCAGTATTATTGTTATTGTCTATAGTTCAGAAACATAACACATCAAAATGTGGAAGACCTTTGTAAAGATGCAATTACAACTTCTGGTGTAGTTACCGACAGTGGGCCATGGATCTATTAAAAAAAAAATATTATAATTAGCTATATTAAAATAGTACTGGGCTCGCCTACTGACTGTGATAAAACCCACTGAAGTAAACATGAGCAGCGGTAAAATGAAGACTGCATACATACGAGCAGTTTGGAATCATTTTGTCAGACTTACTACCGCAAACAGAGCCCATCGGAAGTTGTAATCACATCTTTCCAAAAGTCTTCCTGGTTTGAGACGTAAGCATGAATAGAACCTATACTTTCTGAAGGCGGTTATACTTTCTGAAAACGGTTACGGTACTCACCACCAGTGCACCCAGTCACCTACCTGTCTTTTGGCACATCACTTGTGTCTGTCATATTTTTCCCAAGGCGTTCCCTAAGAAAATTAATGAACATTATAATCTCAACATACAATCACAACATAAAAATGCAGAAGACTGTGCTCCTTTGAAAGAAAGTGTAACCTTTTTTTACTACCTTAGAGCTTTTTGTTCTTGCTCCAACTGTTCTTTGACGGTCTTTAGTTGTTTTAGAAGTGCAGTATCTGTGCCATTCACCCATGTGTATACTACATCTATTGGCATTGGCAAACATAGTCTATAGAAACAACATAGTATAGAAACAGTTGTTACCAAGTCAAGTCATTACAAAACAACAGAGTGTGCTATTAGCGGGTCAAAAAAATTCCCCTGACAGATTTTAACCAGTGAGGATTGTGAAATTTAATCAAACATTAAGTCTAAGATAATAATTACACAATAACTATGGATTACCTGCTTTGAAAAGATTTCCCACCAACATTGTCTCGATAGGAGTCAAACAGCACGTGATACTGATCTCGACTCCATTCCATCGCCACCTTCATAAAAGAACACATCACAAGTGAATCACAAGTGAATGACAAGCGTAACTTTGTTTTCCTTCGTCTTTGGTGACAGAAGAAATAGTAGCATCCAAGTCACGTTACTATTTACCATATGCTATTTACACAGGGAAAACAGTGATCCTAATCCAAATATTAACATGACTAAACATATAAAGGTAGACTTCCTGAAGACTTGCAGTTGATAAGTTACACGCTAGGTTAACAGGGCACACCCACACATAGACATTCAGGGTCAGTGCTGCAAATGTACCAGTCCGCGGCCGTAAAACTACATGGACTCACCTCTCCAAACTGAAAGGCAGACACTATCATAAGCACGATGCCCCCAAAGCATATGTACAGTCCATACCGATGGGACAGGCAGGTGTATGTCTGCCGTTGTACCAACTTGAGCACCGAGTTGACGACTACCATGGTTCTCCTCAACGAAGCATGACGCGGCATTCATTCAAAACAGAAAGGTAAAAGCTCTAACTACGGGGTAAACATAGCAAACAACTCGTATCAGTCAGCTGACCAAAAGCAAGACAGTACAACACATGACCGCCATCCCCCAGTCTTCTGCTGCGATGAGACTGTGATGTTCATGTTAAGCGCCCCCTGCAGGCACGGAGCACCAGAGTGGTTGTAGTGCGGGTTTGCACCACACGGCAGCGCTGCTGCTGCTGCCACGTCTGAAACTGGCGGGACGTTTTTCCCACGCTCCCAACATCAAAACAGGTGAATCTAAAAGCATATATTAATTGGAATTTGGAAGAAATAAAGTTGGTTTGCTGCCACATGTTTATATAAACAGTTTTACCGCAGCTCACAGGTTACAATGTTAGCTAGGTTACAAACACAATTCAGCAGTTAATAAGCAGAATAATAAAGCATGTACAATACTTCCATGGTTTCACACAAGGAAATAAGTTGTGTTATCGTATTATTTCGCTTGACCCTTGGCTGTGACATTTGAAGCTATCATGTATGGCCCAAGTTTGTTTTTTTTTAACTGTATGCATGGATCTATTATAAAAACCTTTATTTTATTATTGATTTTCTATGACTGTATGCACGCTACAGAGCAGTGGGCACAGAGAGGTAGGTGAAAACATAAATTATGATGGTGGACTCATAACATGATTACAACGTCATAAAAGTAGATATAAGTACCAATTCTGAGAACTATTAAAGAGTTAAGTGGTTTTAGTCAGCTTGTTATGTAGGATACAAACTTGGGCAGTTTAAATATTGAAATTTAGCTAAGTCACAATAAGTAGACAAAAATGTGGTAACTTCTAGTCTTGCTTAATTTGCACATGCTAGTTTCATCCGCCTACAATAAGCAAATTGTAACCGTAGAATGTTGTTTGTTTTTTTTTTTTTTGTTTTTTTTTTTGCGCAAGACGGGGCGGACCACAAGCGACTTTGGGGAAGAAGTTCGGTTTGACTTTTATGTAGCCATGTGATTGTCTAGTGACACTTTAGTGACACTTTTATTATTCTTCATTTCTTGTTTGATTTTGGACTTTGTTTTACGCACATGTATCCCCGTGCAAAATGTTTTGGTACCAGCAAGGACTATGTATTCTTCCAGTGAGTCTGATCGTTTTTTCATCTGCCACCTTTATAATTAACTACATTATTGCTGTATGGAGACATGATGTTGATGTTATCCTCCCTTACATAAGGTAAGTAACATCTAATTGTTTTGGTTTTATGATTATTGTACATTTTGATTAAAATTACGCTTGTGTTGAATGAAGGAAGTATGCAGTCTCTTAAGTTTCATTTTTAAGTTTCGTTTTCCTTGACTAATATCGGCCATCTACTTTCACTGTGTTTCACATTATTAGGTTAAAAAGATTATTATTTTGTTAGATTATTATTTTTATTATACTATATTCTATGTTTTGTGTGACGATGGAAGCAACAGTGATTTAGATTTTTATCTTTCCTTATTTAAGCGACACAGCAGTCAGTCCTCCAGAAAGTTGTCTTTTCGGCTTGATGACATTTATTTCGGCTTGTGCAGGTAGACATCCTTAAAATTAAGGAGTTAAAAAGTAATGAGTCTGCATATGTTAAAAATAAATTTATTTTGCATTAGGTGTTTCTACCATGTATGCCATGTACAAGTATATGGCAAAGCTGGGTGAGGACACGGGGACCATCAGCACTTGTTGTAACAAAAGTGCTTTTGGACTCGGCCTCATCTCCTGTTTGGGCATGTGCATCGTTGCAACTTTTCAGGTAACTTAACATCTCTGTAAATATGTTTTGTTTATTAATGTAAAAGGCCAAACTGTAAAACTTATGCCAATTCATATTAAAACAAATGATTTCATTAATGTTTATAACGATTTTTTTGGTAATTATTTTAGGAAACTGCTGTGGCATCCGTTCATCTAATTGGAGCACTGCTTTTTTTTATTTGTGGAGTATTTTACATCGGTGCTGAGACTTATTTATCGTATCGCTCATCCCCCTATGGAACCTCCCTTTTTATATGTCATACACGTTTGGCTATCAGTGTAATTGCTTCTGTGTTTTTTATCCCCAGTATCCTTTCATTTTTACTTTACATTTTACTGATAAATGTTGTGTATTTTATAGTAACAGTATGGTAATCCTTTTAATTTGTCAAAGATATACATTTTCTTAATTGAAAATAAACAGCTGTAGTTTGTAAATTCCTTGAAAAGGTAGGTTCCTTTTACCCATTAGACTTAGACAAACTGTATTGATCTGTAAGAGAATTGCTTGGGCACTGAAATAGAAAATGCAGTATAATAAGAAAGGGAAAAAGGATTTTAAAAAAAAAAAAACTTTTTTTTTTTTTTTCAATTTACAGGATCCCTTTCTCCAAAAGACAAGTGCTGCATGTGAATGGATTGTTGCCTTCAGCTTTATCAGTTTCTTCTATACCTATATCCATGATTTCAAAGTAAGTAACAGATGAAAATGGTTTATCTTTTTAGATTGTTTGTATATGACCAGTCTTTTTGTTCTTTTTCTAGCGATTTACATTGAAAGTCAGAACTGTTTGTGGAACTGAAACCTAACAATGGGTGGACAGTGCCTCGTGTACTTTATTACAGTATTACTCCACTTTTGTGCAAATAGATAATGGCTAAAAGTTGAATATGAATTTCATATTTGCCATCAGTTACACTCATTAATATACTTCGTGATTGTATGGTTGTGTTATCCTGCATCCAGCATACTACTCTGCTTGCTTTAATTACGTTTTGTTTTGTTTTTTTGCTAAAGTATGTACTGTTTAACTGTGCCACCTGTATTTTCAAACCATCCATTTCATTTTAGATCTGTAATATCGCTTGTAATAAATTAAACTGTATTTTTAAGTTTTACACATTTGCCACATTGATCACCTCACTCCTCTCACATTTATTTAGCAATACAAGTATAAAATACTATAATAAGCACCTGGGACAAAGACTAATTTAGATTAAGAAAAGTAGTGGAAAGCACACTGACATTAGAGAGCCATCTAAGAGTTTATCCAATATCCACAGAAAGAACACTGTCAATGTCCAAAACATCCCAGAAAAAATATAATCACTTCTGTAAGCAGGGGGCAGAGTCCTGACCAAACAATACAGTAAACAGTGGCAAGTGGAAAAAACACCAAGTTCAGTATGAAAACGTCTTCTGTTTACAAGAAAATGGACTTCTATATGACACTTTTAATTGATTGATTGAAAGTAACAATGACACCAGGCCCTACTACCTCAATGTAAAAATGGCACACACTATTTAATATCAAACTGGGGTAGTAGTTGATGTACCTCTAACTATGTCTTCTATAGCCAGATAATAATGCAACAGAGAATAATGTTTCCTTGTATTGGTCAATATTCTATTTGATTTTATTTTTATCTTATTAAATACAAATATTCATAGCTTGCTGGAGCTCCCTGGCCCCTGTAATCCTTATCCAGGAAAGAAATATATAAATAAAAGTCTTAGATGCATGAATTGTCAAATACACACAAAATGTAGGGGAGGCTGACTTTCACCTGACTGTACAAAAACACTTCTTGACAGTAATTTCCTTTGTACAATCTGCATTAATTTTTGTTAGTTGATGTGACACACACCATCATTGTAGTTAGTCACTAAAGGAGGATTCACTATCTGAACTATTGACATCTTGATCATCAATGCTCCCAGAAGCTCCACCAAGCAAAGGAGCATTTGGCGTACTATAACACAAAGAAGTCTGGTTAATTATGAACAATGTACATTACATAACATAGGCAATTTGGACAGTTTTTGACTCACTCAAGAAGATTGGGATCTAACCCCTCTAAGACCATTTTGTTTTTAATAGCCATTACAGGAACACCCTGTGGGGAAAGGCATTGTTGTATTGTTACAGCTGTACATTTTAACTATGATTTTTTATTATTATGATTTTTTAAATTTAAACTTACCACTTGAACCATCTTAAGATACCGAGCATATTGTGGATCCTTAGCAACAGTTATTACATTTTCAGGTATAGTCTCCTCCACTTTATGTGCAGTTGGTGGATCGGGTTCATTCTGAACAGCCTGTAAAACATGCAAATTGTCTCAACGTTTTTTGTTTTTTTTTGTATTTTGATGTTCATTTGTATGGATTTTTGTAGTTTACATAGCGAAAGAACAACCTCTGTAGGTGTTACACTTTCCACATTTTCTGTCTGCATGTGATTGGCAGGAAGACCATTTATTTTTGTGTTTTGTCGCAGACCGATTTCATCTACTGTTACATCCTCAAGTCCAGGAATAGAGGACAGCTGCACACAAAATAACAGGATTAAACGACAAGGTACTATGCCTTTGATGAACACACAAAAACTTGCCTTAGCCTCCAAAATGCATAACGTTGTTTCTATCTGCTGTACGCGAAGAGATATGTTGGCGAGTTTCTATAGACAAAATAAGATATATTAGGTAAAATGTGTTAAGAACGCTTTAGTCCTAAAGGCTGGAGAATAATAATCCACAAACCTCCTCACAGACCGTAGAAAAGCGGTTTAAAACCGAACTGTGTGTACAATAAACTGATTGAGAAAGGCAATGGTTCTTCTTTGTTGAATAGCAGGAACCTTGGAAAAGCACAAGTTTAAAGGCTTGAAACAAAATTGAGTTAATATGCGCCGACGTAGGACTACATTTTAAACACAAAATGTCAAAGGTAAATTATGCAAATAGCTTTTATAATATGTTTTAATGTCTTTAGAACAAATGCACAATAAATAAATACGGATCCCTCAATGTTAAAAATAGTAGAGACACACCTTTGTTAGATCAACACCAGAGCCAACTATTGGTAGACCATCTTCATCCATATTTTATAGTTTATGATTGTCTGGTGCACGTTTTGTGCACAAAAGAGCAAATTTTAAAATACAACTCAGAAACGATTGATTTCACGTGACTACAATGTTGATGACGTTATCTTCTTCTGGTCATTTCCGGTCAGCTGGCTGTGTTATTGCGCTTTGCTGCCTCTGTTGGTGTGGAGTAATGCACATGAACAGAAGTTCAAGGCCCTTCAACAAATAGTCCTGTACCTTTGCAAACTTCGTTCAATAAGAAAAATATCAGTTCTACTTCCAGTATCTTCGTTATTATTATTATTATTATTTTTTTGCTGCTGTATATACTACTGGCAAAGTTATATCTTTTGCATTGGATCATTGCATGTTTAAATAATGTGCACTGGTCAAATAATGGCAATGGGTTTATTTGTTGTTTATATTGAATATTTATAAATATTTGAGTAACACACTCAAAATACAGATTTACTTTATTCTGTAATGTAAGATAGTAAAAGAAGCAAATATTTATCAGTTTTACAAACAATTAAAAATAATCCAACAATACATAAAATTTCACCTAAAATGGAAAAATTGATGCCATGTCTAATAAGAAAATACAGTTATAAACTTATCTTTAATAATGGTTAAGTTAGAATCTTTGGCAAAATTTTAAATATGATCCTGTTAACTACAGTTTAATATAATGACAGGCCTGTAACTTCTCTATGTACTTTTAAATTCAGGGTCAGGTGGCACTTCATGTGGGTTTTCAAACAATGACTTTGGGTAAAGGCTTTGTCACACTGTCTACACTTGTAAGGTTTATAGCCAGTATGGGTCCTCATGTGGACATTCAAGTAGTGTTTACGCCCACATGTGTATTCACACACTGTACAGGAAAATGGTTTGATACCTAGATGGATTCTCATGTGAAGCTTTAAGATGACCTTGTCTTCTAAATTTCCAGTCACACTTCAGTGTGTCCTCACGTGTGTTTCTAGATTACCCTTTAATAACTTGTTACAAACTGAACATTTAACGTTTGTGTATTTGCTGGTGTTTTTTTTAAAATGCACTCCTTTGCTGCAAATCTCACATAAATATTTCCTTTCTCTGACGGTGTGGATCTTCTCATGTTGTTTCTGTCCTAAGGGCGTATAAAATAGTTTCCCACAATGTTGATAGATGAAAATCTTCTCCACTCTATGACTCAATTTGTGATGAGAAAGTAATCGAAAATGTGTCAGGGATTTACCATATATATCACAACAAAAGAGCTTCTCACCAGCGTGTTTTTCTGTTGTGAGCTTCAAGGTGTACTTTAAATTTAAAGAACTGATGACGTGTCACAATTGTAAGGCTTATCATGGTTATGGCATAATTCATGTTCTCTTAAAAACTTATTGTCAGAAAAACAACTTTTCCACAGAACCGACATTTGAAAGGCGTATCTGTTTTGTGGGCATCTATGAGATTTCAGAAAAATGCGTCCACATATTTCACAATAGAATAGTTTGCAGAAGAGTTTGCAGATGAGATCTCAGCTCCTCTGATGACTCCAGTTGTTGACCACATACTCCACAGATGAGTTTTGGTTTGTCCAGATGGCTTAAAGCATGTTTAGTTAAGATTGCCTTGGTCCTAAATAGAACTCCACACACCATACAGTTATCGCCGCTGTTGGTGCACTTCTCACTTCAGTGTTCATCTACAGTCGTCCCCACCGCCACTAAAATACTACTACTGCTACGGTCATTTTTTCGGTGATTAACCTACTTGGTATTCACCTTTAGATGGTACGCTCTCGGTCGCTCCTATAAATAAGTTAAACGACTCCATTTGTTCATGAATTTGCGATGTTTGTGGTTTGTTTTGAAAAGTGTGTGCAGCGTACACCTCATCGATGAGTGTACCTGCCGTGGCTAATATAAGATTTATCATCGCCACCTTCTGGCCTGGAGTGGGCAGGATTGAACTGCACCATCATCTGACTTGAGCCTGGACCTGGGTAAAACATGTGGTGACCCTCTCTTAGAACTGGTGTCAGAAGACAGCCGCAAGTATATCGGTGAATATGTTTTGATGGTTTTTCTTTTTATTTAGTTTTAGTTTTTTTTTTTATGGTTTGATATATCAGTATCATAAAATGTTATGTTGCCCATACCTGATGTCACAGTTTTACAGACTGGCACACTTGGATGTCCCCTCCATGCCAAGACAGGGTGCACATGTACGGTGGTGTATTGCTATCACTCCCCAAAAAATATTTCGGCTCAGTATCACGTAATTACGTGAAAAGTTTCACGTTATAACGTGATATTTTTCACGTTATAACGTGAAATTATCACGTTATTTCATGATATGAAATTATCACGTTATTTCGTGATGTGGTATTTTCACGTTATAACGTGAAATTATCACGTTATAACGTGATACGAAATTATCACGTTATTACGTGATACGAAATTATCACGTTATTTCGTGATACGCATTTATCACGTTATTACATGATATTTTCACGTTATAACGTGAAAACGTCAAGTATGGTTTTACGTGATTTCATTATAAGATCAGCCACAGCCAAACCACGCTTCCCTGGGTCCAGTCAGCTCCAGCCTGAGCATGGCCCACGCTGAAAATGTGGATTCTCCACTCTTGAGATTACTTCGGGCTCGTGTTGTCTCCTTCGCATGAAGCAAGATCGTGTAAGTGTATTTTACTGTTTCGTCCCCAAGTTGTGTTGTCGTACGGTAGCAGAATGCTCTGTAAGCAACTGCTGAATATTAGAGCTGGAGCGAGTTGTTCGCTGTGGGTAGAGAGCTGCTAAAAGTACCTAGTCTGTTTGCAATTCTGTTATAGCTCCTAAGAATTAGTTAAAGACAAAAGCATTCATTTGACACATTTCGGTGTTTCCAGTTATTTATGAATAATGACCATAAAACATTGTTGACTGTATGCACTCAGACATAGCCAGTGTAAGAGAAGGCTATTCAGAAAATGTGGTGCAGTTAGCTAAGCTAAGCCCCGCTTCAACTCATCTGAGCCCGGCCTGGGCAGGGGAACAGCGCTCACAGGTCCCTGTGCTCCTCCGGTTCAGGCCGGGCTCAGATGATCTAGGCGGGGAGTGGTTAGGTGCCTCGGCCTGAGAAGCGCTTTTCTCGAGAAGAACCAAGTGCACGGAGGCTCAGAACAGTAACGAACCAGACCGGATTCGCGCTTCTGTCTGGATGCTTTACTCCACCTCAGAACCAGCCGCAACGCTACACCTACACCGGAGCAACCCGCACGGACCTAGAGTTCACTGCGCATTCTCGCTTTCCCCGCATAGAACCAGCGCGCAGAGGACGGCACGGAACCGCTCAGCGATGACTTTACTGCTGTTGGCTGCTGCTGTTACCCGAACTCAGAGCTTCTGGGCTGATGTGCAGCGAGTTGTGTACAAAGTTGTAGGCTACATGTGCTGTTTTATGAGTTTATGATGATAACTTGGGATGAGGACGGCCGTGGTGTTTTATGGTCTTTATTCATGAAGAACTTGAAACACCGACATGTGTCAAACGAATGCTTTTGTCATTAACTATGGAGCTATAACAGAATTGCAATTTTAGCAGCTCTTTGCCCACAGCGAACGACTCGCTACAGCACTCGTTCAGCAGTTGCTTACCGAACATTCTGCTATCTTGAGGACGAAACAGTAAAATACTCTTACAAGATCTTGCTCCATGGGAAGGAGATAGTGTTCTCCTTCGTTAGGAGCCCTTCCTACTGACCTAAATACGCACAGCAACATTTGCATTGAAACTGTACATAAAACACCTTTTACAGCAAGTATCACAACTAGGATGTAGATGCTTACATTTAAAAACATGAACCTCAACAACTCAAAGTTGGATCAGTGATATCCTAACATTAAATCTCATTATTTAACAAAAGAAGCAGCAGATTTTTTACAATGTAAACGATGTTTATTTTATTCATTTATTACAAACACATTTAGGCTCCTAACGACTTAATAAACAGATCCGCGGCAGATCCGGGCCAGATAACCCGGTTCTGAACGCGGATCCAAAACGGGTCCTGGGCGGGTCCGCGAGATACGCAGCGGATCAGCCGCGCCTCCGCCGCGGATCCGGAAAAATAAAGACAGTCACGCTTCCCTTCGGCCAACTCCAACGTGAGCATGGCCCAGGCTGAAAGTGTGGATTCTCCACTCTCGAGATTTCTTTGGGCTCGTGGTGTCCTAGAACACACCAGAACACACCAGAACACTATCTCCTTCACATGGAGCAAGATCTTGTAAGAGTATTTTACTGTTTCGTCCTCAAGATAGCAGAATGTTCGGTAAGCAACTGCTGAACGAGTGCTGTAGCGAGTCGTTCGCTGTGGGCAAAGAGCTGCTAAAATTGCAATTCTGTTATAGCTCCATAGTTAATGACAAAAGCATTCGTTTGACACATGTCGGTGTTTCAAGTTCTTCATGAATAAAAACCATAAAACACCACGGCCGTCCTCATCCCAAGTTATCATCATAAACTCATAAAACAGCACACGTAGCCTACAACTTTGTACACAACTCGCTGCACATCAGCCCAGAAGCTCTGAGTTCGGGTAACAGCAGCAGCCAACAGCAGTAAAGACATCGCTGAGCGGTTCCGTGGCCGTCCTATACGCGCTGGTTCCGTGCGGGGAAAGCGAGAATGCGCAGTGAACTATAGGTCCGTGCGGGTTGCTCCGGTGTAGCGTTGCGGCTGGTTCTGAGGTGGAGTAAAGCATCCAGACAGAAGCGCGAATCCGGTCTGGTTCGTTACTGTTCTGAGCCTCCGTGCACTTGGTTCTTCTCGAGAAAAGCGCTTCTCAGGCCGAGGCACCTAACCACTCCCCGCCTAGATCATCTGAGCCCGGCCTGAACCGGAGGAGCACAGGGACCTGAGCGCTGTTCCCCTGCCCAGGCCGGGCTCAGATGAGTTGAAGCGGGGCTTAGCTTAGCTAACTACACCACGTTTTCTGAATAACCTTCTCTTACACTGTCTATGTCTGAGTGCATACAGTCAACAATGTTTTATGGTCATTATTCATAAATAACTGGAAACACCGAAATGTGTCAAATGAATGCTTTTGTCTTTAACTAATTCTTAGGAGCTATAACAGAATTGCAAACAGACTAGGTACTTTTAGCAGCTCTACCCACAGCGAACAACTCGCTCCAGCTCTAATATTCAGCAGTTGCTTACAGAGCATTCTGCTACCGTACGACAACACAACTTGGGGACGAAACAGTAAAATACACTTACACGATCTTGCTTCATGCGAAGGAGACAACACGAGCCCGAAGTAATCTCAAGAGTGGAGAATCCACATTTTCAGCGTGGGCCATGCTCAGGCTGGAGTTGACTGGACCCAGGGAAGCGTGGTTTGGCTGTGGCTGATCTTATAATGAAATCACGTAAAACCATACTTGACGTTTTCATGTTATAACGTGAAAATATCATGTAATAACGTGATAAATGCGTATCACGAAATAACGTGATAATTTCGTATCACGTAATAACGTGATAATTTCGTATCACGTTATAACGTGATAATTTCACGTTATAACGTGAAAATACCACATCACGAAATAACGTGATAATTTCATATCATGAAATAACGTGATAATTTCACGTTATAACGTGAAAAATATCACGTTATAACGTGAAACTTTTCACGTAATTACGTGATACTGAGCCGAAATATTTTTTGGGGAGTGATAGCAATACACCACCGTACACATGAGATCCATCCTCTCACTTTATATTTTGTACAAGAATACAGCAGCCGTAAGTTTGCTGGTATAAATGTGTGGCTGTTATATTTTAAATTTGCTCTATTGAAGACCATGCAAGTGGAATAATACTCAAATAAACAACTTATATGGCCGCAAGACAGCTGCGAATGCAGATAACTGAAGAGCACAACACCCATCATCCTGATTTACAGTGCAGCTGAGGTTGTGGTGGTGAAAGCAGATTAATAACAAGCCATAAAGTGTGGCAAGGAGTGTGAGGGCAAGAAAGAAAGCAGGGATAAAAACAGAGAGAGAGAGAGAGCTTAATTAAGGCAGGACCACCATCTCTGCAATGACTTACAACCCCATATCTGTGTGTCCAAGCCCCAAAAGCCAAGCCTTAGATGAGTATTGTGAACTTGCAGTAAATGTCTCAGCAGTAGTGTCTCTCCTCGTCTATGGACTCCTCTCAGGCTTTGCTGGCACCTTCTGGCCCTTCATCTTTTGCCCCTACACCCTGTTGTCATCCAGTGGGAATCATGCATCTTCTTCGTCTGGGACTCCTGGCTTTTAGCTGTCTTTTTTGGGCAGCTGGTTTAGCCATTTTTACATTAGGTGTTTGGGCTCAGATTTCGCTGTCTGACTTCATGCTGCTGTCTGCGAATCGCTACCCTAATGCCCCTTTAATACTTTTGTCCACAGGGGCTATTGTTACTGCATGGGGTTTTCTTGGTTGTCTTGGAGTAGCTGCAAACTTGCCCTATCTTCTTAGGGCCTATGGATTTTTTCAACTTGTTGCGCTTATTGCAGGATTGACAGGTGGACTCTCTGGTCTTTTCTATCGTGAAGACATTGCTGGAGGATTTCGGAGTGGCTTACAGCTTGCAGTGGCCGGTTACACAGAGGATGAAGGTCGAGCAGATGCTTTGGATAGTCTGCAAAGAGCCTTGGAATGTTGTGGAGCTGACAGTTGGCGTGACTGGTTGTCCTCAGACTGGGCAATTCAACATGTTGCCTTCCCATCTATTGAAAATGCCACCTCTATTTCCCTTCCAGATAGCTGTTGCATAAAGCGTAAAGGCTGCAGGAACCGTCCTTTGATGTCAGGTGACAATGAAGGAGTAGTTTCTGCTGGAATCCACCCTCATGGCTGCTTTCGTAAAGTTTTCAGTTTAGTCAATGATAATGTATTTCATATTGCAGCTTCTGTTTTAGGACTGGCCTTTACCCAGATAGGAGGCATTGCCTTAGCTTGCATGCTGGCAAACAGGATTAAGTCACAGCAACCTGAGCGAATAGTACACTGATACATTCAATGTAACAAATTACCAATTTTGTAGATAATATTGTCAATGTTGTCATGTTGGCTATGTGATTCTAGAGTAGAACATTTGCATGTGTTAATAATATAGATCTAGACATGTGAAAACATTACATCTGAGACAGGAGCATGGTATTTAGAAAAATGCATTTGAGCATAAACATTTCCAAAGTTTCAGTGTTTTCTATTGATGTGGATAATTCTTTCCCAGTAAGAACTTGACACGTGAAAGAACATTGGCCAAATATGTTTTATTTCAAAATAGTGTGAGTGTAAAGTTGCACTGTAAAATCTATCTTATCCAAGTACATGAATGCTGCCTTGAATTCTCTGTGATATATTGATGAATTTGTGTTGATTGTCCTGGTAGAAGTTAACCGTTGTTTCCTTATGGCTGATCTGTGTAGCATGTCACGTTGAAAGACAAATAATATACTGTAGGAATTGTACACATTATTCATAATTGAAAATAAATTGTATAGAATCTTTTATAGACGTCAGTGTAAACGATAACCATTGTGTGTATTTCATCAAATTTTATTTATTTAAAATAGGTCCTGAATTGCCATGCAATCGGCCACCTTGATCTAATAAATTACTATGTCAATTGTAAACCTAATATTGAAACCAATTATCATCTGATAGGCCTACTGTGTGACAGCTAAACCACGCTTGCATTCTCATGACCTGATTATTCTATTGATTAGCCTGCAAGGCATTTGGGTCTTTGTTGTGTCCTTGTCTAATGTACATTGTTGCAAAGAACTTTAAACACACAAACAAGCTATGTATTCAATCCTTATCAAATTAGGACCACTGACCACCTGTTCATCTTCATGTCATTCTGCACAACCATTTGACTTTGTACTTAATAAAACAGAATTAGAAAAATTAAGAACAAACCTGATATAACAATCATAAGTCCTGCAAGAGAACTACTAGTAGTAAGCCCAGCTGAAATGACATTTAAGACGGGTCAGATCTGTGGAAAGCAAACCCACCACAGTAAGAGTGCTTGTTTTTCAAGCTTTTTTTTTTTTTTTTTTCCATAGGAACAGCTATAATATACTAAATGTAAGTTAAAGTTTCTCCATCACAAAGGTTACATAAGGCACCTTTAAACACAGACCTGGCTATTTCATTGCTGGGGTTTTTAGGGATCAAAAGTATCTCATAACAAGTGAGCAGTCTTTTTCTCTTAAGAATTATTAATTTTAATGCCATGTTGAATATTGTATAGCATTAACATCTCCATCAAGACAAGTAGTTGGCGGACCAATAACCAGAAAAGTTTCGCAGTGTACCTTTAGTTTATAGGCTCAAGCTTTGCCATTGGTGAACAAGATAGATTCATAACCAGGCAATTACTTAAAATAGCAATATATGAATAGGCTATCGTAAGAAAAAATATTGACTAACTTTACAAACAGCCTAAAATTGATAGGCTACGTGCTTGTCTACAGATTTTGTTCTGAAACAAACAAACAAAAACAAGCAAAAGTATAGAATATTGTAGAAAGCTCATATTGAGTAAAAAGCGACATCGGGTTAGTACATAGATTTTCATTAATTGGCTTTTCGGCATACTTGTCTGAAAATCCCCCTAATCCCTCCTACTGCATGAATTTTGTTTATGTTTGGCAAGGTGTGGAACTTCTCCGCCCTCTATCTGTGCCTACATCTGTATACTTTTGGCGTGTTTGCAGTTTGCATAGCAGCGGTGCTCTGCCCTACATTAGGCCATTAGGCAATTCTTACCCTCGCCGCTGAGGTCCGCTCACCCATATGATTGTGTAAAAAGCAGCCGTAGCGCTCAGATATGCTGCTGTTTGTGCGCACACCACTGACTCCAAATGGATCTAAAATCGGAGCTTCTCAAATCCATCTGGTACGCGTTTACGTCGTTGGACGTTGAAAAGTGTGGAAAAGTGTCAAAGTCACAACTTAAGGTAAGCATTGTGATTTATTTTTCTCATTGCTTTAATTAATTAAGTTAGAAGGATTTGCATGCGGTTTACGTCTACCATCAAAGACCCCATTTGATTTTGGAAATCAGCTGATACGCAGCAATAACCCATGCTATCTATAGACAAATGGAAATTGAAAATCTTGACTGATAGCTCTGCAGTCAAATCGAAATTGCAATTAAACGCTCACCCTGAAGTCTAATCCTCCTCAAAATGTCTTGGAATGCCGCTGATTTTATTAGTTTAGCAGCCAGGCAATATTTCGGTTTATGTAATATGATAGGCCTATTCTAATTCTCATTGACCCCTACACTTAACACTTACATTTAACACCTAACAGAACCACATTATGAAAATATTAAAACACAAACCTAGTGGCAAGTGTAATAGTTCAGCTCTAGATTGATCACATCAAGGAAAATTTCAGATGCCCGGTAGCGTAACATATTTGTAACAAGCTGTAAGGCTGAAATCACGCAACGTATCACGAAAAGCTCAAAGTTCAGACTTGTTCTTATAAAGTCTAAAAAGCCACTAAGAGCTGGTGATATAGGCACAATTGCCGTCCAAAGCAGCCATAAGAATAAAACATTGGATTGTTGGCCCCTAAGCAAACTGAGCTTGTGTTCAGTCTGTACATGCCTTAAGAATTCAAGGAAATGAAACTAACTGTCCTGACATGCACAGCTGAGGCCCACTTGCCTCAGCAGGAGTGTCCATTAAAATAGCAGTAAAATAGTGATAATTTTGAGTTGTTGAATTTTGTTTGTTAGGTCCTTTCCCATAACTTGTACACTGTGCTGAACATTCCTCATGACCCAGTCGCCCTGGAGGAGCACTTCCAGGATGATGATGATGGGCCAGTGTCTAATCATGGATATATGCCCTATCTCAACAAATACATCCTGGATAAGGTAATTTTTATTACTGTATTGGCGTAATACAGAAGATATAATAACAAATACGCTTACATGGAATTTGATGTAAAACATTTTTTCCAGGTCAAAGAGGGAAACTTTGACAAAGAAAAGTTTGATGACCTTTGTTGGATGATGACCATGAAAAAGAATTTAAGGGGTGTTTTTCATGGTGGACTTCTGTCTCAGAAAGACTGCTTCAAGCTTTTCTGTTTATTCAATCTACTGTCAGAAGACCGTTACCCACTAGTCATGATCCTTGAAGAGGTAGGCCTTCATACATTTGATGTACTTATTATAACAAATCCACATGTGTTCAATAAAATATTAACCAACAGAAAGAAGATGAAACCAGTTTGCCCTTCTAAATGGCACACCAATTAAAACACTTTAATTATCTATTTGCAGATTAACTTATTCTTTACATTCTTTCTTAATGGGACTCTTCCTTCCGGCCTCTCTGCTGCAATGTTTAGTTTTTTTTTTCCTTATGACAAAGACAAAAAATAAATTGCTTCCAGATTCTTAATAACATAATCTTTGGTCATATTTAGCTGGAATACTTGTTGAAGAAGATTTCAACTGCAATGAACCAAGAGTGGGATGGGAAGTTCTTGGAAGATTTATTGTCTCAGGACATAACTGTGCTGGAAGAAGGCATATCGGTGTGGGCCTTCTTGGAGCACATGAGTGCAGGGCAACTGCTCAGAGTGACCAGTGCAGAGGCCTTTAGCCTGGCTTTACATGAGGTGTTTTTGGAAATGTACCACAATGTCCTCAAGCGGGTCAGTGTTTTTCCTTGTTTTTTTTATATATGCTTTTTGTTGTTTTTCTCTAAAGTTACACTCTGTTCTGATTGTAGGGGTACATGTGGAAAAAGGGCCATGTTCGCAGGAACTGGACTGAGCGTTGGTTTGTGCTGAAGCCATTTTCCATGGCATATTTTGTTAGTGAGGACATGAAAGATAAAAGAGGCGAAATACTGCTAGATAAAGGCTGTTTAGTTGAGGTTAGTTAATCATCTGGACATTTTTGTGTGCATTTTTTAGTTTCTCAGGAATTAATTACTGTAGATACACTGTTGCTACTGAAACATGTCTCTGAACATCTTGATTCTTTATCATTTTAGAGTATTCCAGACAAAGAGGGGAAGCGTTGCTTATTTTGTGTTAAAACCCACAATAAAATCTTTGAGATGAGTGCATCTGACCAGAAACAGAAAGTCGAATGGACTCAAGGTGATAATATGAGTACACTAACTCTTTGGCTATGTGAAATTGTATGTAATTGATTACGTTATTAACTCATTAACCCAACTGCAGCAATGCAAGAAAGCTAAAAGAAACATATAAACAGAGAAAACCCATTACAGTGATGTCTATCGGTACATATTTGTGCAGCCATACAGACTGCCCTGCGCCTCCAGAGTGAGAAAAAGGCATCTCTTCACTACGAACTGAAGCTGAAGAGGAGAATTCAGCGGGAACAAAACCAAAGGGAGCGGAGTCGCAGCACCCGCAGCAGCTGCAGCAGCAGGAGCAGCCAATCGGATGACTCCAATATCCAAGACATTGAAAGGATGGAGAAGGAAAAAGACAGACAGGATTTGGAAATAGAGAGCATCATTAAAGTAAGAAAGTGCTTGGTGTGAATGTATGACTTAGGAGTTTCAGGAAAAGTTTACATGAAAGTCTTTATTGTGTCTGGTAGCATGCCCGTGAACTGGAAACCAGACGAAGAGAGGCAGAGGAAAAAGAGAGAAAGAAACAGAGGGAAGTGCAGATGGAGTTGGAGAGACAGTTGAAGGAAGCAGAGATGGTGGGTTTTGTTCTGATTACTCACTTCACAAAATAAATACATTTTTACTGCATTAAATTCAAGAATAGTAATGATTAGTGATTAGTGTTTGTGTGTGTGTACAATAGCTTAGAGATAGCCTGCAGGCAGAGATGCAAGAGAAGGAAAAGGAAGCTGCAGAGCAGAAGAAAAGGATCCTCGAATTGGAGTTGACACAGCGGCAACTGGAGGCAGCTCTCAACATGGAAATACAGGCGCGGCTAGAGGAAGAGAGAGCCAGACAAGAGCTCGAGAGGTAAGGAATTATCATCATAAATTTGTTTCCAAAGAGACTGCACTGTTTTCATTGCCTCATTATTGCATTGTGTTCTTTATTTCTTAATCTTTTTTTAATCAGAGTTGCACTACTGCTACATTATTTATTTAAATTCTTACTCAGGCTACTGTTGGAAGAAGAGGAGAAAAGGAAGCAGTTCAACCTTCTTCAAGAACAGCAAAGGGCTTTGAAAAGTCTTAGCCCCATTCAGGAGAATACAAACAATGTGATAGAGCAGGGCACAGTCCTTCACTCTGCTTCCAAAGAACTGCAGGATCTACAGGAAAGTCGTCAAAGAAGCCATCAGCACCTTGAGGCAAGAAGGGCTTGAACAGATAATGAAATCTTATAATTATAAACATAAACCAAGTTACATACTGTGTGTGTCATTCAGAAAGTACAAGAGAAGCTCAGAAATGCAAGTCAACATGTACGGCACTGGAACGTCCAACTTAATCGTCTGATGACACCTGTCACCCCTGGAGGTGCTTTTATATATGTGTTTTTTTTCATTACATTCCATTCTTATACCATTTCTTATCTCTGGAAATATGCTTTTTTTTTTCAGAACGCTTGGAACATCGACTGTCCACGAAGCTTATGTGTCCCAAAAAAGAGGGTGCTTTAGCCAGTAATGAATTTATCAGCAAATTAAAAATTAAAGACCAAATCATAGAGGAGACAGAATGTCTGGAGGAGCAAATGGGAGCTGCAAATCTGTCAGATAGCCATGTAACATGACAAGAACAAACAAATAAAACCAAAAATACGATTGGTGATCAGGTATCATACTGAAGATTTTGTTGTTTATGTTATTGGAACAAACAAATAATTGTATACATTATATTTATATCCATAGTTTCTTGTTTCAGCTTTGTTTTAAATAAAACAGCAATTAAGCTAACAAATCTATGTACCAAAATTGTTGTACAGCAAACCGTGTGCATCTGGTTGATTTATTTAAAAAAAAGGCAAAATAACAAGGCAAATACTAATCAAGTGTATAGGTTTAAATTCAGATTCACTTCTACTATACGTGTTAGCTAGCAATTATTGAGTTGTTAATTAATATTTTAAACATTTTTAACTTGACATTTTGACACAAAAAAAAAAAAAACCCACTAGTGGTGGCGCTGTAACATTCACACGGTAAAAAATCAACCGGAAGTGGTATTATGGCACGAGTTAATGACTTAAACAACATGGCGGCCACCATGAACTATGAACTCACATCATGCCGATTTAAATGACATCTTGAGCTTTGTTAAAAAATAAATACAAAAAATTTAATCGTACGGGACTGATTTATCATACTAGATACGATATTATCAGTGTTGCCTCATGTTTTCGTCCGCTATCCGTTGTCGGAGTGCGACAGCTAAAAGGAGACTCCAGTGTTTGTTCTCGTTGGTGAGAGGACTGTCAGGCGAACCGCCAAGCTCTGGTATCGATGAACCTCATAATAACACCGCAGATGAAGCCCCTTCTCCTGCGGGGAAACTCAGACCGCGAAAAGACCCCAGCAATTGCTCCGTGCTGCTGTTTCCCGGGCAGGGCAGCCAGTTTGTGGGCATGGGGCGAGGACTTCTGAAGTACCCCAACGTCAAAGAGATGTTTACTGCAGCCCAAAGGATCCTCGGGTATGATCTGCTAAGTCTTTGTTTGGAGGGACCCGAAGAGGAGCTCATGAAGACCGTGCACTGCCAACCTGCTGTATTTGTCACCTCACTGGCAGCTGTAGAGAAACTTAACTATCTCAACCCTAAGGTGTGTATAACTCAACCTACCTGCTCAGCCTTTATATAAGTAGACTTCTTTATTGAAATACCTAACAATAAACAATAACAATAAAAATGAACTTTTCTCATTCAAGGTCATTGAAACATGTGTCGCTGCAGCAGGCTTTAGTGTTGGAGAATTTGCTGCATTAGTATTCTCTGGATCCATGACATTTGAAGAAGGTAAGTAATTTGTTATCAGATCTTCAGATAGCATAAAGTGTAATGTATGTCCTCTCTTTCAGCGCTGTATGTGGTGAAGGTGCGTGCTGAGGCCATGCAGAAAGCGTCAGAACTGGTACCCAGTGGGATGCTATCAGTGATTGGCAAACCTCAGGCACAGTATAAGTTTGCATGTCTACAGGCCAGAGAGCACTGCAAAACCGTGGGAATTGATGAGCCTGTTTGCTCTGTGGCCAACTATCTATTCCCTGACGCCAGGGTCATTGCTGGACATCAACAGGTACATTTTGAGCAAGATTACATTAAGCAACTTGCTTCATTCTGAAAGTGGACTCGTGTTTCCCAGGCCCTAGAATTCCTACAGAAGAACTCCAGGCAGTTAAATTTCATGAGGACCAAAGTGCTTTCTGTCAGTGGGGCTTTCCACACGGAGCTCATGCAGTCTGCTTTGGAACCACTCAGAGTAGTACTTCGCCAGGTGGAGGTATGCACTCACTCCTGTAAACATGTTGTATATTCATAAATTTTTTGTTAAATATTTTTGCATCGTATCACTGATATTAGGACAAACACTTAGCTGGATATCTGATGAAAATATAATGGTCTGGTGAAAATATTATACATTATGCTGTGGGGATTAAAGGAAATAATATGTGCTATATGACATTATACTTATTACCTGACCAAATTCGACTAGAGTTGATTAATTGTAAAAATTATAGATTGCATCATTAGCTAAAAAGATGAATTTTATAGATTTTTAATGAATGCAGTAGATCACAACATGTCAGTTTTCAAGCTTATCAAGATTTTGATGGTTTTAGGTGCGTCGTCCTGAGATCAACGTGTACTCAAATGTGGATGGCAAACGCTATATGAATGAGACCCACGTCCGGCGACAGTTGGTGAAGCAGGTTGTGTCACCAGTGAAATGGGAGCAGACTTTGCATGAGATTTATGAACGGACACAAGGACAGTCGTTTCCACACACATATGAAGTTGGTCCTGGGAAACAGTTGGGTGCCACACTTCAGAAATGCAACAGGAAAGCGTTCAAAACATATACACAAATGGATGTTACTGACTTGGAAAATTAAATGTGGATTTTCTTAAATATTCTTATATTTTTATTTTAATACAGTTGCATATATGAATTTGCTTTAATCATTATTCAGACATTATTTAAATTTGTGTAAATAAGAACAATCAAATGAAAGTTATTTAATAGTTTATTGTACATTTGTAAGAAAAAAATCTGAATTTTTCTTTTCACTACACTCAACTAGACAGTTTTCTACTGTGTAATGTGATCTCAACTGATTTAAATGTTATTCGATTTTGAAAAAGTAAAGTCAAATGAAAAACAATGTACAAAACATAAAAACCTGCCATTTAGGCTCTCTATTCTCTAATTATCATGCACAGTAAGAGCTATTGCCTCCACTGTTACATGAGTACAGTCAGTGCATGCCACAGGATTCCAGGATGAGTCAAACAGCCTGCTCAATGTTCATTGATGTTCATTGCATACATACAATTGCACAAGAGTGTTTTGGGGTTTTTTACCAAGTGCTGTGGCTTAGTCATTGTGCCTGAAATCCTTCACTGTTGCAGACAAGCCTTTCAGCTCTCAGAATTGACACTTGATAAAATGTTTTTTTTTAAAATTAGATAATAAAATTGAGGAGATCCTCAAAGTATTCCTTCCTTTGAGGATCTCCTCAATTTTATAAATTTTATTTAAAAAAAATAAATAAATAAAAAGGAGGAAGCTGAGGCTGGGGACTCGGAGGCAGGACTCATCCATCACCCTGGCTGAAGTCACTGAGGTGGTTGGAAAGCTCCTTGGTGGCAAGGCTCCGGGGTTGGATGAGATCCGTCCTGAGTACCTTAAGTCTCTGGATGTTGTGGGGCTGTCTTGGCTGACACGCCTCTTCAACATCGCGTGGCAGTCGGGGACAGTACCTCTGGACTGGCAAACTGGAGTGGTGGTCCCTCTGTATAAGAAGGGGGACCGGAGGGCGTGTTCCAACTATAGGGGGATCACACTCCTCAGCCTTTCCTGTAAGGTCTATGCCAGGGTACTGGAGAGGAGAATCCGGCCGATAGTTGAACCTCGAATCCAGGAGGAGCAGTGTGGTTTTCGAGGTGCTCGAGGGTTCATGGGAGTTTGCCCAACCAGTCCACATGTGCTTTGTGGACTTGAAGAAGGTATTCGACCGTGTCCCTCGTGGTGTCCTGTGGGGGGTGCTCTGGGAGTATGGGGTTCGGGGCCCTTTGCTAAGGGCTGTCCGGTCCCTGTACGACCGGAGCAGGGGCTGTGTTCGCATTGCCGGCAGTAAGTCAGACCTGTTCCCGGTGCATGTTGGACTTCGCCAGGGCTGCCCTTTTCACCGGTTCTGTTCATTGTATGTATGGACAGAATTTATAGGCGCCGGAGGGGGTCAGGTTTGGGGACCACAGGATTTCATCTCTGCTGTTTGCAGACGATGTTGTCCTGTTGGCTTCATCAGGCCAGGACCTGCAATGTGCACTGGGGCGGTTTGCAGCCGAGTGTGAAGTGGCTGGGATGAAGATCAGCTCTTCTTAGTCTTCTAAGGACAAGATCGCGGATACAAGTGATTGAAATGAGTTTCCTCCGCAGGTTGGCTGGGCGCTCCCTTAGAGATAGGGTGAGGAGCTCAGTCACACGGGAGGAGCTTGGAGTAGAGCCGCTGCTCCTCCACATCGAGAGGAGTCAGTTGAGGTGGCTCGGGCATCTGTTCTGGATGCCTCCTGGACGTCTCCCTCGGGAGGTGTTCCAGGCATGTCCCACCGGGAGGAGGCCCCGGGGAAGACCCAGGACACGCTGGAGGGACTATGTCTCTCGGCTGGCCTGGGAACGCCTCGGGATTCCCTCGGAGGAGCTGGAGGACGTGTCTGGGGTGAGGGAAGTCTGGGAGTCCCTGCTTAGGCTGCTGTCTCCGCGACCCGGCCCCAGATAAGCAGACGAAAATGGATGGATGGATGGAGATAATAAAATTGTGACTTTTTTTTCTAATAAAAACATATGTTTTGTTTGTTTGTTTGTTTGTTTTTTACATTTTACTAAATAATGGCCTTAGTAAGGGCCTGGGGTGTTGTCAGCATTTGGGGAAAGGCTGGTTGTCTCTGGTCTGAGGTATTCTATCTTCCACTCCTAGTGCAGCTGATCGACCAAGCCAGCATAGTAAATTATCTATGGAAGTTGAAGAACATAACCAGTGAGTTTTTTAAAGTTGGTCACATGATTCACAGCCGTCCTTAACAAACTTACTTCATGTGGTGTTTAAAACGGACACCGCCCTGTAATAACAGTACTGGAATTGAGAATGTAGAAATTGTCATTTATATTTCATATTTAGGCTTATACATTTGTATGGTATTTTGCTGCACGTACAGCACTGTCCTTCAATCTTCTTTGATCTGAGAGAATCGCTCCAAAATTTGTAATGGCTGCTCACTTGAAAGAAAAGCGGCCAGCGGTGGTTGTTAAAGAATTTATAACTGTTGTTTTTTATTGTACTTTCTGATGAACTGTGTTAACACTGCCGCCTGCTGGTGAGTCCCAGTAGTGTAAAGGTGAGGTAATGCAGTGGGCGCCCCGTGTCCACGGAAACGGTTGCTATGTTTCATAAAACCAAACCACTAACGATGAATTCACGAGGTTTTCCGCTTATGCACCAATGTCGTTATTATAATCTTATGTCATATTTGAGCTTAATTTACATCGCATTGCGCGTAGTGAAGCTTTTATTTTGAAGATGAGTTTGACTGCCTTCTTGGTTTCGTCACTGTCTCTACAAGCTGACGCTTAGCGTTAGATCAATAAATGTAAGTAAATGTTAACGCTAGCTCTTTACTTGGCAGTAGAACATCTTAAACAACAAATAATGTTAATATTGCTTGTAAAGTAGTTTGCGGTACCATCTTTTTTTTTTTTTAAACAATGGATATTCTAAAACTGCATCTTTGGGCGAAGCCTCTGCAGCTGTCCAATGTGGACTGGGAGTCTGCTAACTGAGTCAGACCAGCTAGCTGATGCTGATGACTGGCTATTTCCTTGCATTGATGTATTGGTATGTGAATACTCATAATGTACAGAAAATAATTAATTCTCTTGCAGTGGCATTACTATTAAAGAATTATTTCACATTGTTTTGTGCGCCAATACAGTGGGGGGCACCATGGCTGGTAAAGTGAAGTGGGTAACAGATATTGAGAAATCAGTGCTTATCAACAACTTTGAGAAAAGGGACTGGGTTCAAGTCTCAGAAAACGAGGACTGGAATTTCTATTGGTATGTGGTTTTCCTCAAATTTAACCTCAGCCTTAACTAATCAAAACCTAATCATAATGCAGTCATTAACTTCATAATGTCTTTTTATCACAGGATGAGCATCCAGACTATCAGAAATGTGTTCAGTGTGGATACTGGCTACCGTCTGTCAGATGACCAAATGGTTAACCACTTTCCCAATCACTACGAGCTGACACGGAAGGACTTAATGATTAAAAATATTAAACGTTACCGCAAAGATTTGGAAAAGGAAGGCAACCCTTTGGCAGAAAAAGATGAGAATGGAAAATATATTTATCTGGGTAATTAACTATTTTCTACCTATATATTTAACTACATACTTTAATTAACTATATATCTATATCTGTCTATATGTTTTGTTCTGTAGATTTTGTCCCAGTGACGTTCATGCTTCCTGCTGATTATAATCTTTTTGTGGAAGAATTTCGTAAAAACCCATCCAGTACATGGATCATGAAACCCTGTGGGAAGGCACAAGGCAAAGGCATTTTTCTCATTAATAAACTGTCTCAGATCAAAAAGTGGTCCAGAGATAGCCGCACTTCTACGTAAGTTCAGGGCAACCATTTTCTTCAGTAAAATGTAAACAATGCTCATCTGGTTACTTTTTTCTTATTTCAGGTTTGTGGCAGCATCAAGTGGCAAAGAGGCCTATGTGATCTCCCTATACATAGATAATCCCCTGCTTATTGGAGGAAAGAAGTTTGATCTACGTCTTTATGTTTTAGTGACGACATATCGGCCGCTCAAATGTTACATGTAAGTGGCATGTGTATTAAGTTACACTATACAATGAAAGAGGTGGACACGTTTAACATTCTTGTTTGTCTTTCTAGGTATAACTAGGCTTTTGTAGGTTCTGCACTGTAAAATACACACCCAGCACTAGTGAGCTTGACAACATGTTTGTTCACCTTACTAATGTGGCAATTCAAAAACATGGGGTATGTTTGTATGTTTTACATAATTAACAAATTTAAAAAGCTTTTTAAAAAACTCCACCTGATTCAAAAAAAATTTTTGTAAGACAACAATATGGATGCTTTTATTAAATGTTTTTTGTAGGACGACTACAACCACGTCCATGGGGGCAAATGGACAGTCAGTAACCTCCGTTTATACTTGGAGAGCACAAGAGGAAAAGAAGTAACAAATCGACTGTTTGACCAGATCCACTGGATTGTGGTGCAGTCTCTAAAAGCAGTAGCTGTAAGTAACATAATACAAATATTTACGTTTTCAATCAATACATGGGAGGTGACATCCTTAAAATGTTGGCAGGGAGATTTGCTTATGTTTCCCAAGAGAGATTTTTAAAGTATTAGCAAAAACATTTTACTATATTTAATCCAGACAAGTATGCACATCTTATCACCAATGTTTGTTTTAATTTCTTCTCTTCCTTAGCCTGTTATGAACAATGACAAGCACTGTTTTGAATGCTATGGGTATGACATCATCATTGATGACAAGCTCAAGCCGTGGCTGATTGAGGTGTGTACATGTACATACAAGTGTTATTGTCCCATCTAAACATCAGCATGTTTATTGGTTTAAATAGTGTTGATCTGACTATTTACCACTAATTTACAAATAAAAATACAGAACAAAGTATATTCAGTGATGGATTAATATTTCACCAATCTCTTGGATGCTTGGCATATTTTAGCTTTAGTTTTGTGTTCCTTTCCTCTTTGAGTGTTGCAACTTCAAATGCCCTTAAGGTTAATGTTTCTCTGTTTCTGCAGTGCGTGTCACTTTTCCAATGTAGTGTAACTATTTGCTTTTACTTATGTTATTACTCATTGTTTTATTTTAAATGCAGTTTTACTATGTTGTGCATTTAAATGTAATTAATGTTGGCTAGATCTATGTAGGTCTATGTCTTTGCAGACATGAACAGTGTAACTTTTAATCTTTAAAAAAGTCACTGCCTTACATGTTTACCCATTTACAATAGGGTTTGCCCTTAAGTAATACATCCAACCAATTTACCACTGTCTAGGGTCTACTGCACTATTATGGGTTAAAATACTGATGTGTTTTTTCATTGTAGGTGAATGCTTCACCTTCACTGACCTCCAGCACAGCCAACGACCGTATTCTAAAGTATAACCTCATCAATGACACTCTGAACATAGTGACGCCCAATGGGGACATGCCTGACTGCCGCTGGAACCGCAGCCCCCCTCGAGAGGCCATGGGCAACTATCAAGTTTTGTGAGTAGCACTACCCTATTTTGTTCTTATAGGGAAGACATTTGTGTCTGTTTCATGAGGGTAGGCCCGGTAATTGTATTTATAATAACAATAATGTAAAACATGCAATATATAAGAAAATACAAGTAGTAGAACCCACAAATGTGCAAAACATTTAAAAAAATATCTCCTCCATGCCGGATTTGAACCAGCAACCTAAGGATGTCACCCATTACCACTACAGGCTTCCACTGTACCAACTGAGCTATCAAAGGCTACTAGTCAATGGCCTGTCAGCTCATGTTAGACTATGGACCATAGAGTTGGTCACTGTTGTATGCCCATTTAAAGGCAGACAGACCCTTCACCTGTGTTTCCTTTGTGTTTTTAGGTATGATGAGGAGCAGGCACAAACCGAAAATGCTGAGCGTGACCTTAGGAGCCGCTCAGGTCAGTCATTGGGTTCAAAGGGCAGCAGGGGGAGTGCAGGGGGCCGACCCACTGCTGCAACCTGGAAGTGAAATTCTTTTGAGGTCTTTTTCTCAAAAACCTCTTGGACCATGGCGGGTACAAGATATAGACTGCTTTTGTTACATCTGACCTGTACAAATAACATTGTGGAGCATGAAGGATGCCATGGACAATTTTAATGACTTTTCATGTTTTTTGTTTTTTTTAAATATCAAGTTAGGTTCTTCCTGAATGTCATTATGAATTCCATTCCCACTCAAAAAAAAATGGTCTGACTTCTATTCTACTTATGGTGAATCTGATTAAAACTCAGTATCTCACTATATGTATCACCCAATGGCAAACTACTGAAAGAAAAGAAAGGTACAATGAAGAAAGAATCTATGCATGAGGCTCTGATAACTGCATTTCTGACCATGTTTTGCCCACACAGGTGCTAACAAAAAAATTACTGATTATCCAGAGACCAATGAAAAAAAACAGTGTATGTGTAAGACTGAGATATCGAGGTAATGTTAATTCTATATTTGTTATTATTATTTATGTATGTGAGTGGGGATGTAGAGATTGATTGTATTTAACTTGCACTTTATTCAGTTTCATTCAGCATTTACATTGGCAAATTACACATTACCTGCATATAGATAGGTCAGTATTGTTATTTATTTATGAGGTGATCATTCATGTGATCTTTAAACACTGGACTACAGATATGTTTATTCCTTTTAGGCATATAAAGTAGGATTTTTATGCAGCATTATAATTGTCTTAATGCCTTTTTGAATACATATTTTGTACAGTGTAGATTGCTTCAAATAATTGTTAAGTATTACCAGAAAATGTTTGTCCTTGTATCTTTTTTTCTATAGTTTGGAAAATGTGAATTCACATGGGTTTTAAAAATGTAGCGGATTTCTTCATCAACTTAATCTGTCTGGAATTAAGATAAATCTGCCTTTCTTACTTTGGTATTGGCATTGTGACCCCATATTAACAGGGAGCAGTCCCTGTAGCAAATGTCCATTGACTAACTTCATTCTTAATTTTATTTTATTTTTTTTAATGTTACTGTTGCCTTGAATAATAAACATTTAAATACTGGTCGATAGTTATAAACCATCTGTTGTTGGTGTGATTGTAAGAGCCACTGTCTGAAAATTGATTCTCATTTTGACAGTAATACAGTTAAACCCCGTAGTGGCCCCCAAATACCCCACAGAGTTGACCATGCCACAGGATAAAACAATTTTAACGGAAATTACATAGGTATAGACACATTTTCAAAATAAATGGCTAAATTGTGTTTTACGTTAAAATAAATTTGCATCCGATGCTGAATGCTAGAACAACCGTTACTGTTTGATTTATAAGACTATAATATTTGTTTTAAGAAAGTTTTTATTTTAGTTTTTTTTTTTTTTTTTTTTGTTAAAAACACTAAAGTCCGGATTTTTAAGTTTTCTCCGAAAGACCAAGAACGTGTAGATTTAACTTTATAGGTCAATTTGCACACTAGAAAAGGTTATTTGCCGTTTAGTTTCTCTTTAAATTAATGTTCCGTTCAATGGTTTGTGTTAGTTTTACTTTGGTGTTTGGGTTTTACCGGATGCGCTCGTGCTGCTGTGCGTAATGCAGGACGCGGACTGTAGCCTGTGTCAGTCACAAGTCGATGGTGCCGCGGAGGAGGAAAACACAGTGGAAAGATTAGTAAAAGGCACTAAAACCATTTTAATTCCGCAAATCAATCGCTGCTTTTCAATCGGAATAGATACACTAAAGGTAAGTTGTTCTGAATACTTTGACATACTTTTACTATTACTTTTTATAACTTTTTGACGGTACGGATGTGGCTAATTGGCTAACTTAAAGCTTGGGGCTAACACTGTAGACAACTTCCCAATGACAAAAAGTTCCCATCTGTGGAAAAAGTTTGTAATTTCCAGTATGAAAGGTTTCTGACTACACTTTACAAATGATCTCAGAAATATATTGCAGATTTTTTTGTGCTGTAGCTAAGGCTGTTGGGAACTATTACAAGCTTAAGAGATTAAGGCAGTTTCTGTTTTATTCAGCATTAGAGGCATTTACGATTTTAATTATTCAACAAAGTCTCTCATTTTACGGCTCCAGCTTCATTAATGAGTTTGGTTTAAGACGTTTGTGTTTACATAAGGACAGAAATGCCTCTATGGGTTGAATGATAAAGGGCGGGGCAGGTTTCGCTTAAAGATAAACTCGTCGTGCGCTCACAAGTAAGAACACATATCTTATTTTCGACATAAAAACACAATTTGTGTCTCATTTTAGCACAGAGATGATTGTGTGAGTTGATGCTACTTACGACAGTGTGCCAGTGTAGCTGAAGCTGTGTAAGGCACATGCCAAATTCAATTTTGTCAGATGCACTGTCGTAAAACACAGAAATTACACTTCACTTCACTACAGTCAGTTTTTACTTAAAATGTATCTTTTCCGTTTCAAATATATTCTGGAAATTACAAGAAATCACTACTCATCAGTCACACGACAATGATTCACAGATCTATTTCAGCGTGTGTATGGCTGTTGTGATGTTTCTATGTTGGTGATGTACTGCTGCTGTAGTAGTAAAGGAATAATAATAATGAAAGCTGAGGGTCATGTGAAATGAGCTAAACTGATTTGATACAATTTGTGATTTTGTACTAAAAAGGTGATGTATGTATGTCAAATGCTGCTCTGCTCTAAAGACAGACAAATTTGACTGTTACTGACATTACTATATTTAAATTTATATTTTGCATTGTACAAACATACATATAATTCTCCTATATTTCACACTGATATTTCTAATTACAAGTTTGGCATATTATGTAACATCTTCAATGCACTATAATCTCATAAATAAATAATGAATAACTTTTTCTGATGGTAGGTCCGCCACCTGTTTGATATTATTGCTTAACCTGGAATGTTTCGAAATATGGCATACTATATTATATTGCTAAAACATACATTTCTCTCCACATCATCAGTTTGGCATTATGAATAGTTTAATGCCTTAACATTCCGGGGAAAGCCCATTTCATGGAGACAAGCAATGGAAATGTTATTTACAAACATTCACCAGAAAAGTTACATAATGTACTTTTTAATTTGAGATTAATTTGAGGTGCACATGAGGGTCACAGGGTTATCACACTCTGACCAACTCCTGAAGAATCCTGCTTCAAAGCATTAATACAAGACAGGAACCTCCACAGGAAGTACTGTAAAATGGTCCATGAGTGACGTCATGGGTCTGCTCTGTCATGTATTAGAGTTCACCTCCATTATGTGTTGGTCTCTGGGCTGCTGGCTGTTCCACTGGAAAATACCTGAATGTGTGGAACAAATGCCATTGTTTTCAACTGTCCATGGAGCTTTTTTCTTTGTTTGACCCTATAGTCATCTGTGTTTAGACTACAGTTACTCCACTGTGTTGATAGACGCATTAGCTTGACTTCTATGGTAAAGGACAGTTTAACTCCAGAAATACATTGTTGTGTAAATGTTAGTCAAAAATTTGAAATTTATTGCACTGAAAAACAGTATGTTTCCTTACTGTGAGCAGACTTGCAACTCCACAAACCAGACTTATTTATCCTAAAAGAGGGCCTTCTTCTCGTTGCCTTGGATATGTTATTCTTTTGGCTATAATATTTCACAGGCATAAGACTCATCTAGCTCCATGGAGAATGTTCCAGATTATGGTTTTAACTTCTATTTCCATGTAATCACGCAGGTGACACCTCCAGAAAGTTATGCAGTTTGGCCAGTATTTAATGTTAGGTTATTTTAAAATCCTTTCCCACTAAAACACTGACTTGTTTTGATACATCATTGAGTTTATAAGATGCTTTTAGTATTATATAGTATTAGTCAGCAACACCATTAGTATAGTGCTTCTATCATTTTCTTCTCATTGCAGTGGATGTTGCTGTTACTGGCCTCCTTAAGCAATCCTAAGGCAATTGACAGATAAATAGTTAATGCCGTCATTGGTATTTAGAAAATGTTGATCCTTTGTGTTACTATATCTCCTTATATTGGCTGCTGTGAGAGTGCAATATTGAAGGACTGGATTAGTTTTAGCTCTAGCTTTAGTACGTATTACTTACTTTATTGTGAGATAAGATTAACAAACTACTTCTCCAAGGAAATATCAAGTTAACTGATTAGCAGCCCGGCCGAATAAGGTAAATGTCAAAACTGTTCAACATAAATCTACATTTGTCCTTGGTACAATCTGGTGAATGGCATTGTGAGAAAGCGGCTGCCCTTTTTCAAACATGTGCTCATAGAGAAACAAACTTCATCACAGAGTTGGCTGGTGTTCTGTGACTCGGAGAGTAACTTTATGGGGCAAACATAAATAAACATCTTCAGGGGAGGCGCGCATGTGCATGTCAGCTGTGTGAGAACTGCTGGTAGAGGGACTCAAGGGAAAACTATTGTCTGTTCAGTCACAAAGGTGAATCTAAGATGGACTTGGGCCCAATTCATACCTTGCAATAATAAAGATGTAGCAATTAAAATATGCATTTTATATGGTGATGTAAAGTTTCAATCTTTTTCTATTCATGACAGCGTGAGAACATGCCAAAGTTTAGGCTTGTATTCTTGTATTCATTCACCTGAAGCTCTTGAATCACTGAGTAATTTATAGACCTTTTTAAAGTTGCTTTTAAAATGGAATTGTTATTGATGAAGTAGTTGCACATACTTGGAAGTTTGCAGAGCACAGATTGTGAGTGGACTTCAGACCCTGCATGGTCCAAAGCTTTGTTTACAGTTCTGGGTCAAGCTGGGTTCAGCTGACAGTGTCCTACAGAATCAAGGCAATGGTTTTCCTAAGCGTTGTTATTATGTCAGACCCAAAAATTACATTGTTTCAACTGTTTGCTTCTGTTATTTATATATTTGTAGTATTCACTTCTGTTTTGGGGTTGTTAATCTACCACCAGTAGCTTTCACAACCTTTTGAAACTTTTGCATCCTCTTTAATTGGGATCAACTTCTATAAAGGCCTTGCTATAGACACGTTTTATTTGTAGATTTTCTGCATGTCTTGAAGTTTAGTGGAGGTATTTGTTGCCTGCTCATGTGCCCATCACTTGTTCTTCTCCACTGAGTGCGAACTGAGGAATATGGACAACTGAAAAACAACCAAAGTAACAAAAGGCAATCCTATTAGCAGTTACAATATTTGATAATATAAACGTCTTTGTGATCACACATAGCAGGCGTAACAGTATAATGTTGGTTACTATGATTGCTTTGTGCCCTTAAGAATTGTAGTAAACTTATTTTAATTACTTTTATATGTTCAGTAGTGGAACATTACGGTATAAATGTACCGGTAGTAAAGTACTGTAAAGTTAAAAAAAGGTATCTGTACTTTACTTGAGTACATTTTTAAGTGAATACTTACATGCACTCAAATGTTGTTAAGTTTTTAAAAGTATATATTCTTTCTACTCCACTACATTATTTAATTTGACTGAAAAGTAAAAGTATTTTTTATTATTGTTTGAGACCAGCAGAAAAGGATGAGGGGTTAATTCAAGTTCATACTATGAATAAACAAAATATACAAGGAAAAACAGCTAGAAAAAACAATTTATTCAGTTGTTTCTGTTGAACAAAATTCAGCATAAGTCTTTATCAAAATCACAGCATTTGAAGCCTTACAAGATCTCAAAATCTGCTTGAAATACTTTGACTTCTTATTCTTTTTTCAAATGTGTACTTTAATACTTTTACTGAAGTTGATGTTATTCTTTTACTTGAGTATTTTATTGGTCCGGTATCTGTACTTTTACTTAACAATATTGATTACTTCTTCTCACCAATGAATATGTTTCATGTTTCATGGGATTCTATGTGAATCATGCGCAGCAATTTGGATACTGTTACCAAAAAACAAAAAAACCTGTTATGTTTCGAACGAATCTGCAAAACAAGTTGTTAGTTGTTCATCTTCTTGAGAGACAATTTTATTGACTGAGGATTATTCATGATTAATTTTAAGTTATTTATTTTTGCAACAATGCATGAGTCATAATTATCAGTGAAACTTTATGTGAGCAACATATTTTGAATATTTCGCCTCATAAATAAGACCATGAACTAGGCTACACATGTAAACATTGATGGTTGTCTGGATTAAGTGACAGGCAACATCTGGTGTGTCCGTGTTTAAACCACAACTATAAAAAGAAAACAATTATTCACAAAACACAGCCCTTCCCCCCTCTCATCTGTGTGCCTCTGTATAGTTCAATTAAATATAATTTGCTGTTTAGTTACTCTTTCAATTTATTTTCCGTCTTCTCTATTTTGTGAATGACAGTGAAGAATTATAATGAGTATATGTAATTTTGTATTAGTGTTCATTTATTTTGACTTGATTTGATTTTAGCAACTATTTTCACACCCACTTGTAGTAAAAAACTCCAGTGCGTATGTAGTGAGCTCATAGTTGATTATTTGAATACTGACCACAGCCTGCCTACTTCTTTCATCTCCATTTATTTGCTTACAAGTCCAGCCTTAGGGGAGGGTCTGGTGTAGTCACTTTAAGTTAGGACTGTTCCTTAATGAAAAGAAAATGTCATCTCAGGCACAGACATTATTTGATCTTGTTACTTATTGTACAGTGTACCTAAATAAAATACATTTAGTCCATAACCCAAATTTGGATTATTTGAAACAATTCATGTACCATCAAAAGTTAACACAGCAAGGAAGTCGAGGTTTGAATTACAGAATGATCTTCCATATAATTCAGAAATTAAATTATTTAATTGCTTAAATGCTGACAATGCAATTTTTGTATTTAATTAGGGTAATTATAAAAATTTGACTAATTGCACAGCCCAACTATAGATTTAGAGGGAGAGAGAAGAGGAGGAGGGCTGCAGACTAGATAAAATGACTGAATAAAGAGATACTGTTGAGTTTAAATGATGCACAGGAGGAGAGAGAGGTTTAACACAAGCCCTTCTATAGACCCGTCTGAAAGAAATCGGAAGCTGTCTCCTGTGGCTCTGGGCCCTGGTCTATTTGGCTTCTGTCGGATTCTCAGTGCAGCCCAGTCTTAGTTGGAGCAGCCTCTACAGACTCTTTATCGTGTGGTGGGATTGAAAATACCCACCTGCTGCTGAGATTATCAAACCAGATCACACACTTTCACTGCTCCTCTAATGCTGCATCATGGCATAAGGAGACATTCAAAAATAACTGTGGGATAATGCCAAGACTTTTGATATTATTTGTACAAGTCCCTGTCTTTAGAAGTTAACTAGTGTTGTCACGATACTAAATTTTCAAACTTGATATCGATACTAAAGAATACACTCTAATACCGATTCCAGTACCATAATCATAATAAAAACACTCTTTATTTACAGTGGAATGTCATTTTTAAAATTAAATAATAGTATTTTCTTTTATCTTATCTGTGTAATCCCTCAATATTTGAGGTATATGATCTTATACTAGTACTTTTTCTCATATGGCTTACGGTCTTTCTAAAGCTATTCAGGAAAGGTTCATGTCTGTCCTGTGATTGTGACTTTTTTAGTACTTCTTTAAATGAGTATCTAGTATTGATTAGTATCTGATTTGCGATACTTTTTTGACAACCATAGCTATAATCATTCTCTGGCCCTGCTCTTCTTCTTTGATAGCAGTAGATCCAGGGTGGTAAACTTCAGAGGAATGTTGTTGTGACAGAGAAGACAAAATGCTGTCTCAGTGCCTGTTCCAGCTGTTGATTTGATTGACAGGTCACGTGTGAGTCTGCGTGAGCAGAGAGGATGTGTCCTCTTTCCGCTTTGCAGGATACTATTTTTTTATACATAGTTTCAGTGTCAGCAGTTTACATTGTGTAATCATGGCTCACAGCATGTGCATCAGCTATTGTGAGCTGTATTTTGTGAGACTGGCTTGACCATGGTTTCTCTTTATGCTTTATTTATTCAAAATGATGTTGACGGTTACATTTGGTGCATATTAGAGCAATCAAATCGAAATCTGAATTATGAGTATTAGCAATTCATATTTCCTCTGCAGACAAGGAAGTGCCCTCTTATATACATACTCTTAATGAATCTCAATGAACTGCACTTATATCACTCTTTATATTTTCAAGAATTAACCACACTTGATATGCACAGTTTTTTCTTCCAGGCCCTGCACGCTGAGTGTGAATTAGGGCAGCAGAGATGTCGGGCTCCATGGATGGCTCCATGATTGATGTGTCCAGTGACAGCTTCTGGGAGGTGAGCAAAACATATTATACTATATAAAATATATATTTTTAAATATTTATCCCTTTTTTATATATATTATTAAATGCATGTTTTCTTGATGCAGGTTGGGAACTATAAGCGCACAGTGAAGCGGGTAGACGATGGCCACAGACTTTGCAGCGATCTGATGAACTGTCTTCATGAACGGGCCCGTATAGAAAAATCCTATGCACAGCAGCTCACAGAATGGGGCAAGAGGTGGCGGCAACTCATAGAGAAAGGTAACAGGGCAATGAACTAGTATTTAAATATAGATATTTTATTTGTATTCAAGGATTTCAGAATAATGAAAAATTATACTGTATATTTAGAATGCAAAATAGTCCTCACCTATCACCTACAGGAACTGAAACCCAGGCAATTTGCAGTAATAGTTATATAATACAGTAAAAACATACAAGTAAAATAAGTTATACCATGCTACCATATTCATCTTGGCCATATTTCCTTGTAGATAGCCTTGTTTTGTTATTTTATTTGTACATATACAAATTTGTGTATTTATATATTTTATTTAAAACAGATCTTTCTACTTTCAATTTTATTACAGTTCTTTTTTTTATTTAACCTTTGTTATTATTATATTGTAATCTTTGAGCTGCTGGTATAGTAATTTCTCTTGTGGATCAATAAACTTAGTCTAAATCTCAGTTCTTTGTCTCTCAGGCCCTCAGTATGGCACACTGGAGAGAGCCTGGTCAGCTCTGTGCACCGAATCAGAAAAAGTGAGTGAACTGCACATGGAGGTGAAGACCGCACTGATGGGAGAGGACTACGAGAAGCTCAAGAACTGGCAGCGCGATGCCTACCACAAACAGATGATCGGGGGATTTAAAGAAACAAAAGAGGCGGACGATGGATTCAGGAAGGCGCAGAAACCTTGGGCAAAAAAACTAAAAGAGGTGCGTTTTAGGTCTAGCCTGTGTTATTAATGGTCACCTGATGAGTAGTTTCCTATTTAAAATACTTTCCAACAACACAGTGTTGTGGCCATGGCTATAAATTTCATCCTTGAGTTATTATTTTTTGTCATTCGTATCCATAGTTACCTGGTTAAATAAACAATACACAGTGGAAATCGTTCAGGTGGGTGGAGAAGCTACATTGTACCAAAATACTGTTATGTATTCAAGTAGAAGTACAAAGTAGTGGTCCAAGAAATTACTCAACTGAGTAAAAAAAATATTTGAGGAATAGTGAGAATGATTGTTAAAGTAACTGTCTGGACATAACACACAATCATATCTGAAAGTAAGGTGGAAGAAACACAAATATGCATCGCTACTCAAATACAAAGGTGGCTAAGTACCACCTATCTGCTTATAAAGTAGTTTGAATGCTTACTGTGCTGTGAACAGACATTGTTTTCAAGCCCCTGTCAGTGGCTCGAGGCAACCTTCAAAAATCAGGTCACTCTAATATCCTATCCCCACATTCATTTGAACAGTGTGGCAGGCCTCACATTCCGCTTTGTGCACTTGTATTTGAGCAAGCACGTACATGTTTTGTCCGTTCAAAGCCAAAAACTTTTGCAAACTTCTTGTTGCGACTTCCTTTTCAGTGATGTCACATTGGGTGGTGACATCCTGGCCTGTTGAGTAGAACAATAAAGTGTTTCTGGAGCTGTGGTTTATTGATTAACAAGTCAAATTGGGACAAGTGATGGGATGTTGAGGAAATGAGGCTAATTAACTCAGGAAAATTAGTTTCTGTCATGGCTAACACAGGCTGCAATGGTCAATACAATACAGGCAAACATACATTCAGCTGCAGACATTGGCTATACTTAATGCACAATGCAGCATATAGATTTCCCTGTGCTATTAAATGAATATCAGTGTTATTATTTATATGCTAATAGATGTTTTTTATACTTAATCTTACATTACTAGCACTACTAACAAATTCACTCTCACCGCTGCCATAGCAGTCAGTTACAGGGCATTCTATTCTTGAATAATGGGTTGAGAAGGTCATAAAGTGTAAAGCCAATAAACGTATCTGTGCATGTGATTCACGTCAACACAAACTGTGCGTCTTCTCAGGTGGAGACGATGAAAAAGACCTACCACTCAGCCTGTAAAGAAGAGAAGCTGGCAGCAAGCAGAGAAACCAACAGCAAACTGGAGAGCAACAACAATCCTGAGGCACAGAAAAAGCTGCAGGAAAAACTAGAGAAGTGTCAACAAGAGGCACAAAAGGTTATACATCTAAGAATGGTCAAAATTGTAATCATAAGTCCATCTAATTGTGTATATCCTGCACAGGCAAAAGAGCGCTATGAGAAGTCCCTGGAGGAGCTTGACAAGCTAACCCCTCAGTACATGGAGAACATGGAGCAGGTGTTTGAGCAGTGGCAGCAGTTTGAAGACAAACGCATTCACTTTTTCAAAGAGCTGCTCCTGGAAGTCAAGCAACATCTGGACCTATCTAGCAATCACAGGTCTGAAAAACAGTCCTATAAAGTTTATTTCTATGAATGAATGGCCTCATGCCAACATTGTAAATGTTTGTAGATTTCAGACAATCTACCACACGCTGGAAGACACGATTTCTGCTACTGATGCTGAAGATGACCTCAAATGGTTCCGGTCAAACCATGGTCCAGGCATGCCCATGAACTGGCCACAGTTTGAGGTATTTAATATTATATCGTCACTGCGCTATTTTCCCACAGGACAATACATGCTTCAGGGTCCGTGTTTTCTATATTTATTATGTGGCCATACTAAATCAATACTAAGTTCCATGCTTGCAATATAAAGGTCTACTGTTTGGTTTATATTTTAACATAAACTTGCACATCTTTGACAGAATTTGGATTTGTCCGAGCCTCGTTCCTTTAAAAGAAGGTCCATTGTAGTGAGTTTTGCATGGCAGGCCTGGCGTTTTTCTACACTGCACATCTGTTTTTGTCTGCTCCAATTCTTCTGTGGTTGCAGTGGTTGTTGTGAGGTTATCTTGACCAAGATAAAATATTTGTCACATATTACCTTCATCTTATCTTAAATATATTCTGTTCTTCCATTTGACAGCTGAGATGGCATTTGGGATATCTTCTTTGTAGTATTTAAAGGTGCACCAAGTAATATTTCTGGTGGAGGTTCCCATGGATATGTCATTGCATTGCCTGGAATGTTCTATACTATGGTATTAAATGTATATCTTGCATTTATTCAAATACAGGTGTTTTTTATTGATAAAGTACACTGTGTAAAGGCATGCATTTTTTCACTTTAATGCCATTCTAAGGAACATTCCCTGGAATACCTCCATGGAGACAAGCAGCTAGAGGACCTGTCACCAGAAAAGTTACATAGTGCACCTTAAATTTAATATCATAGTCTGTTATTTTGTAGTGAGTGTTATTTTTTATGTCTTTACTTCAAGGTGATGGATGATAATACCTGCTTTAACTTTTACACTTCTTAGTTTGTGCTGTATACACACATGCATGTACTATATGTTTGAAATCTCCAAACAAGCTTTGCGTCTTCAATCATAAAGTCCTCTGTGTGTATATATTGCTGTGTAATATGCATTTCCCGCTTTATTCGTCAAAGTCCGTGGCTGCTGAACAGTTCATAAGTGTGTGCTGTTTGTGTGTTCTCTACAGGACTGGTCTATAGATTTGAACCGGACTCTGAGCAGACGAGAAACAAAGAAGAAGTCGTCTGAAGGAGTGACGCTGACTGGGATCAGTCAGACTGGGTCTGATCAGCCTGTGAAGACCACCAGCAGGTACACATCAAACCCAGCAACCGAGCAATGTACTAGGCTATACATTACAAATGGCTCAAAAATACACAGGTATACTACACACCACATGATTATAATAGTGGCCAATATTAAGTATTTTTGATTAAGAAGGAATTACTTCAGTAGTTTCCCATGCTTTTATGTTTGTATGTATAGATGTGAAACCTTTGACTAATGTATAAAAATATAACTTTTCCCCAGTGCACTTGATCAAATATTACTGTAATTGTGTGTAGAATGTCAAATTGTAAGAGACCTGTAAAAGAAAACAAAATTATTTTTAGTACTACTGCAATAGTAGTAGTGCACATTCACCCTTCATTTAAATCTTTACATACCTGAGATATTCAAAGTGGCCAGAGGCTGTTGATCTTCAGGAATGCTCATAAAATTACACAAGTTGCTCTAGAGTGACGCTTGTGGTGAACTTCAGTTACCATGGAAACCCAAAACATTTATTCACTTGCTGGGGGTCATGGTGAGCTGAGATTTGAATAGATCTAAGTTATGTTATGTTATATGCAAAGTAATTACTCTAGAGTCATCTTGCTGAAAACGGCTTACCATTCCTCACTGAACTGTTATTTATTTCACACCCATTTTATGCTAACTTAACACACTGTGTATTTAATTAGGCTATTGTCCTTAGCATTATCCAGTTTTGGCAACAGTGCAAAGCAAGAAAATTACAATGATTTGTTGTAATGTCATCAAAGAGATGATTAGGAGAGCTAGTCCAGGTAAACACTGAAGTAACATTGAACTGGCTTTGCTTGGTTGTTGGTGGTTTTATTGGGTTTGCAGGACAGGTACACTAAGTCAGCTGATTCAGCCGACAGCATTTATGGTCCTATGTATTAGAGAAAAAGGAGTGAGTAGAGGAGTCACCATGTGGAATGTCAGATGTGGCTGGCGTTTGACCCTTGACCTTTGCATGAGAAGTGTTTCTTGAGTCACATTTACAAAATACTATGTAATAACACAAAACAGTTATTAGTTTTCTTATCATACCATTCTGAATATAGTTTAGCAGGCAATGAGGTAAACACCAAGTCCCAAGTTTTTAATTTGTATGAATAAGAATGTGCATTGTCCTGTGTGTTTTGATATGCCACTAAGAGTTACATTATCCCAGTCGCCCATATATGTGCTGTTTACTGTAATTACCTCAAGCTGAGCAAGAGGATGGCATAACTGTGCAAACAAAGGCGTTCACAGTTCATAAGTGTTGCTCCAGTGCCCATGGCCAGAGAGTAAATAGGGAGTGTGTTTTGGCGTTGAGAGCGACAATGGCAGGAAGTAAAACTGACCTCAACTTTATTTAATTATAGAGTGTATTGTTCCAGTATAAGGACAATTATTATTATTATGTACGGCACCAACTAGCATTGAGGCAGTTAATAGAGTCAACTGTATGTTTACAATTGTTGCGTTTAGTTTGAATGCATCTGCAATCAAGATTCCTTTAAGTTATTGCTTCTTGAGGACACTTTGACAGCACACCTGAATCACATGTATTTCACAAGTTTATTGCGGGAATGTCAGTATTATTTGGTTAATCGATGTAATAGTCAGAGCTATTTAAAAATTATAATTGTGAGAAGCAAAAAACAATCATTTCAATTCAATCTATATAGCAAAAAACTAAATATAAACTGCATTTTTATTTAGCTGTTAATTTCTCACAGATATTCAGAAAGTTTGAGCTCAGGAAGCTGGTCAGATATCTAATATACAATCAAAGTAAATAATGGATTATATGGTTGTTTGGTCGTAGTGTAAAAAATCATCAGATCATTTGTTTCTTCTGAAAAATAATCACAATAAAATTTGGCATTGGGGCATCCTTAGTTCCCTCTGAACTACAGGGTCAGCTTGTTTTGTACATACTTTGATGTTATGGAGACAGGGTCAGTTGTTCTATGCAGCTTTTTGCCACATTTTCTTCTTGTAAACCATCATCTCATGTGTCTCGTGTTGTCAGCCTCACCATGCCCACCATAAGTGAACCGGTGAGCACAAACCCCTTTGACGAAGATGACGATGAGGAGGAGGAGGTGCAGACTACAGTCAACCACAACATTGTCAATAAAGAAGAAATAAATGTTGGTGAAATGGAGAAAAGTGTATTGTCTTGCGGCCTCTTGAAACTCTCTTCTTTTATTTGTGTTGTGGGCGTAGTTTGTCTTCTGTTTTTGCTTGAAAGTTGATGTCCTTCTTTTCTTTAGCCTCTCTTGACGCGAGTTGGCGTGCTGCATGGTCACTGAAATGCGACTACACACAGGACCATGTTTCTGTGCTTGACTTCTGGTATTATACAGTCAGACCACAAAAAAACCATTCAGCCAACCTGGGACACACACTGCAAAATGTAATCGATGCTTGTACTAATTTCATTTGGCAAAACATTTAAAATCTGGGTTAATAACGTTTATTTAAAGATGTAACTATTCTGGTGGAGGATCTGTCGCATGCTTGTCTCCATGGAGATTTTGCCTAGAATATTCCACAGTACAGCATTGAAGTTTTTTTTCCCCATGGAGAAAAACAGGTGACCCTGTTATGCGTAGTTTAAAATCATGCGGTGGAGCACTGCAGGCAAAGTAATCTCCATAGAGAAAAGCAGGTTGCGGACCCCCACCAGAAAAGTTACACTGTTCTTTAAAAAGTTTGTTTGGTCTAATTTCACTAAAATGCAGGTCTCATATCCAATCAACACTTTGGGAACTCCTATTGTAAAGCTATACGCAATTACTAATAAGCATGCAGTCTTAATTGGTTGACCTTAGCATTAAATCTCATATGATCTGCATGTTGTTGTAGTCCAGAGGCTGTAAACGTGTCTGACTGTACATCATTTGAGCGCTGCTTGGTGTGTTTTTCATTTTCTACTTTTGTCTCAGAGAGAAGCTGTCTCTGTGTCTCTGTGGCTCCCTCTTTTGGTCATGCAGGACAAATCAAATGTGTTTGTTCAGTGATTATGACTCATGTTACCTTTTGCTGGCTGTTTTATTTACATTGCCTGGTCTCGACTATTGTGTTAACTAAACTTCACAGCACCAAAAAACAACAATTTGTCTGGTCCACTAAGTAAGCATGTTCTTTCTATTCTTTTAGAATTAACTTGATGTTTTTAGACAAAACTAAATCTTTCCCAGTTTGGTGAAGTTTTAGGTTGTGATGGTCTTCTGGCTTTCTACTTTTTCCAACTTTTACATGTATTACATTTTTGTATGTTCTATCAGCGTCACTTGACCTCCTCGAAGATCTCTGCTTAAGTGACTGTGTTCTGTTCTAGTGCTAGCAATACAGAGAAGACCCCAGATTGGTCTGATGAAGACACAAGCGCAAATCCCTTTTCCACTAACGGAAATGGAAATCCATTTGAGGACGAACCATCTTCTCCAGGGATATCGGTGCCTGTTCGAGCTCTCTATGATTATGAAGGGCAGGAGCAGGACGAACTGAGTTTCAAAGCAGGTCTTTTTTTTTTTTTACTTCACTCTTTTACCTTTGCAATCTTAAACTTGTTATTTTGTTAAGTGTCACTGACCAAAAAAACTGCTATTCCAGGAGATGAATTCACAAAAATTGGTGAAGAGGATGACCAGGGCTGGTGTAAAGGTCGACTTAAGGACGGACAAATGGGTCTTTATCCTGCCAACTATGTTGAAGACATCCAATAGACATGACAAAGCTCTATATTCCATGTTTTTTCCTGTGGACAGTCAGACTGAAGGACAGATGCACAATCTGAATGGACCACTTGTTATATTGTGTCTTCCCACAAAATGATCTTTGTTGAAACTATTTAAAATATGGAAATTAACCACTTCAAGTATTGTTTGAGAAGCTGAATAGATTTTCCTGAAATCAATTTTACAAAGCAAATGTTACCCAGAGCCACAAGTCTTACAATCTGATGTTTGCTGTTACATAAAATATAACTTTTATAAAAATTCAATGAAATGTATTTGATCCTGTAATGTAGAAAAAAAAAAAGCCAAGGTTCACCGTTTTTTCCTTTAAGCTTTTAGAAGAAAGCCACTATGGATGCATTAAGGGAGATGATCTAAATTCATTTAAACCATTTCTGCAGGTTGAAAATGGGTCCATTTTGATTTATAACATGCTAAAATGTTTTAATATTTGTAATTCCTGCCTTTTTTCATGCTTAGTTTTGAGGATTTGCAGTTAGGAAAGACCAAAATAAAAATCAGCCGTCTTTATATTTAATGTGTCCACAACAAACATGTTATTTGCAATGTTTAAGGTTTCTCACTGAAATTGAATGTACAGTTAATTCACTGATTGTTATAGTTCACTCACTGGTCCCTTCTTCCAGCCTTCAGTCATTTCACTTAACATTTATTGTAAATTGTTATATTTTATTTCATTCAGAAACACTGACTTTGTTTTTATCACACAGATATCCAGTTTTTTTTTTTTTTTTTTTTGAGAAGAAAGCCTTTTAATATATAGCAAGTTTAAGCTGCACAAGATATTGCCATTGTGTATGTAAATAGCCACCATTAAACAAAATATCCACTGAGATCAGATATGATGTGCAGTTTGTATTTGATCAGACTTTGGTGACAACAGTTTGTAGTTGTTTAATTGGTAAGGATTGCTGTATAGGTACATCTCAAAAAATTAACTTTCATGAAAAAGTTTAATGTTTTTCATTTTACATTTCATAAAGTCTAACCTAGATATTATATAGACTGAAGCTTTTTTATTGAAATTTTGATGATGTCTTACAGATAATAAAAACCCCAAATTCAGAGTGTCAGAAATTAAAAAATATATATTATAAACAAAAGTTAGGCTTTTGAAAAATGTCAATTTCTATGCACTTACTTAGTTGGGCCTCTGTCAACAGCCCTGTGGCATTGCCCAGGTTGCTTTGATAGCGGCCTTCGGGTCATCTGTAATTGGCTCTGATGTGTCTCATCTTCCTCTTGACAATACCCCATCGTTTTTCTATGGGGCTCGTGTCAGGTGAGTATGCAGGCCAATGGTCACTGAACCAACTATTTGTACCTTTCGCTGTGTGGGCAGGTGCCAAGTTCTGCTGGAAAATGAAATCAGCATCTCCATAACGCTTCCTTCTGCTGATAAGCTTTAAGTGCTGTAAAATGTCATGGTAGATGACTATGTTGACTGTGGATGTCAGAAAACATTGACCAACACCAGCAGATTACATGGCAGTCCAGAGCATTACTGACTGATTGGATGGGTTAGATTTAAGATGGACAGCAGGCTAATTTAACAGATTTGTGCTGAGACTGGCGTTTGTCTGTTATGCCTATCATTTTCTTTTCTCGTCAGCAGTCTCTTGTATGAGGACAGAAAACACTGCTGGGGTCAGAGAACTGGCTGATAAGCTGCACATGATTCATGAAATGGGTAAGATGCAGATTACAATAATAAAGTAAAGCCAATGCCACTCTGGAGGAGTGCTAACCAAATAAGGAAACTTCAGACACTGATGCACTGAAATGTTGCATTAAAAATTGCAGCACTAATAAGCGCTGCAAAAGAAATCATGCTCAAATTGAAATCACAATTTAGACTGAGAAATTAAGCATTTCTCAAATGTGGGGGATTCCTGTAGCTGGTACTATTTATATAAAAGGTCTATGGGGCTGAATGGCTTTAGGACATGCACTGTGAACCTTATTTAAGTCAGAATCTATGGGGTATTGTCAAGAGGAAGACCCAGCAATGCAGATGACCTCAAGGCCGCTATCAAAGCAACCTGGGCTTGCATTACACCTAAGCAGTGTCACAGGTTGATCGCCTACATGCCATGCCGCAGTGATGCAGTAAATATAGGGCAAAAGGGGCCCCAACTATAGAAATATAATAAGTCCGTGGGCCCAACTAAGAATTGGGTGCATAGAAATGAACATACTTTTCAGAAGCCAGACATTTCTGTTAAAATATTTTTAATTGATCTGATGTAATTTTCTAATTTGGGGTTTTCATGATCTCATTATGAAAGTATAATAAAATAATAGTAAAAAAAACAAGAAATACTCTATGTCATGATTTTATATATTATATGGGTTTGACTTTCTGAAATGAAATTAGTGCTGATCATTTACTATACTAATACATTCTAGATATCACAGATAGGCCTAATTACATTACCAAACGTCAATTGTACTTTTCCTATATTAAATCAATTTAAATAAATTATTTTATGCCACATCAGGAATCGTGTTTCCTCTCTAAATTTACAAGCTACCTGACATTACAAGCTGAGTGTGCCGCCCAAAAAAACCTCATTACCCATAAGGCAACACTACTTCCACCATAACATAACCACGTGTTTTTTTCAGCCAATCAGCGCTCTCTGCACCGCTCTCCAACTGACGTGTCGCGTTCGGGTTGTTATTGAGGAAAATTGTGACAAATGCTTATTGAAAAAAGGGACAATAAAGACAGTCGTGAACATGTCTGAGCCTACAAAGCAAGACATTTCCACCATCTTTAAGAAACTTCGCTCTATTCCAACAAATAAGGTGAGACAGCTTCGTTGGTCCATTCTTTTGAACAAGGAAGTCTGGGGTAAAACCTGACACGTCGCTCCTTTCACAAGCGCCAGACAGGCTTGACAGCACTTTGACATATCATTTTTAACCCAATTTAACGTATAAATATTTATTTTCAAAAGGTAATTTTATATAGTTATTCATAATTTATTTTTTAGCATCCCGTCAGTGTTTTCCAGGCTGGCTAACAGACTTAATTATTTGGCCTGGCCTACAGAATTAACTCCACCTGTTGCGGTTTTACCAAAATATGTCACATTTGACATAAACAAAATGTATTATCCATAATGCGCATGTTTCACCATGTACTCGTTTTTCTGCTCCAGGTTTGCTTTGACTGCTCCGCTAAAAACCCGAGTTGGGCCAGCATCACATATGGTGTATTTCTATGTATAGACTGCTCTGGGACACATCGGTCTCTGGGGGTGCACCTGTCATTTATTAGGTTTGTAACAACTCATCAAATCACTCTGAATGTTACTTTTCAATTATTTTCATTTATTTAGGCTGAACAGTTTGGAAAACATCCAATTTTCTGACCATATGCACCATGTATCTAAATTGTACAGATATGTTTCGATAAGACAAACCTTTATTAGTCCCACAATGGGGAAAATGCAATGTTGCAACACAAAGTTTAAGAACAGCAGAATAGGAATATACAATTAGAACCAGAAGAAGACTATTAAAATACTTTTTTTTTTTTTAACAATTTACAAAAATTTACACTAGTATATTTTTTCACAGGTCAACTGAGTTGGACTCCAATTGGTCATGGTTTCAACTGAGGTGTATGCAAGTAGGAGGCAATGCCAGTGCAGTGAGTACACAGATACACAATACAAATACAAATAATACAAGCACGGTATGTCACCATTGCTGTATATTTTTTGTTAGGTTGCTTTTTTTAATCAACATGGCTGCACCACCAGCGCTGCTAATGCAAAGTACAACAGCAGAGCGGCTCAGCTGTACAGAGAAAAGATAAAGAGTCTTGCCACACAAGCCACACGACGTCATGGCACTGAGGTAACTCTGAAATGTGTCATCTGTCACTGTCATAAGCTATGTATTATTTTGAAACACACAAATTGTGTTAACTGACAGTCTCATGGCTTATTCATTTTCTACTTTCAAAAGTTATGGCTTGACAGTCAGGCTCCTCTTTCTCCAACATCACCAGATGAAAAGCATTTGGATTTCTTTAGTATGCACATACAGGTACATGTTATTTTTTTTAATCTGTTCTTATCTTTTAAAAGATACGTTTTGTTAATTTTATTTTGTTTTTACAGACTCCTCCTGAAAATTTAAACATGGCCAAAATGAGTCTCAGTGATTCTGCAACTGCAACAGAGAAGCATGAAACTAGTGAAGAAGACAAAAATGGTTTATGTTTGCTGCTAACATTTTTTTTATTTTTATTGCTGGTGTTTTCTATTGTCATTTGCATTATTGTTTGTATGTTTTTCATATTTCATTTCAGGTAACCCAGAAGAAGGCCCTAGTGTGGAAATGCTGAGCATCTCTCCTAAAGCAAATCCAGGTTTGTATAAGGCCTGTTCTCTAAATATTAATTCTTATTTTCTACATTCCATAATAAAATTACTCTTGACTCTTTGCAGAAGTTTCATTACTTTTAAAAAAGAAACCAGCTGCTGCTAAGAAATCAGTATGTATATATTTTTTATGTTATTATACACAGCATTTTATTCTAGTTAATTTATTTTTCTTCTAGCTTGCCTCTAAGAAAGGGGGCCTGGGAGCTCAGAAGGTCAGTAGTAAGAGTTTCTCAGAAGTGGAGAAAATGGCTCAAGCTGTCGATAAACTTCGAGAGAAAGAGGAAAGATCTGCTCCTGTAGCCAAGACTGCACTTCAGCCAGATGAGTCTGTGTGAGTGCATCCTTTATCTATATCCCCTAGTATGACTGACGTGTTTTTGTATATATTTTTTATTTATTTTATTTTTTAATCTTTGTAGTGCATTGTTAATTATATATATTTTCATTTGTTAGTGTTCCGTCCTTGCGACTGGCCTATAAGGATCTTGAGAACCAAAGAAAACTTGAAGAGAAAAAACTGAATCAGCTGGAAGGAAAGAAGAAAGAGCAAGCAGAGAGACTTGGCATGGGTCTAGGAATAAGAAGGTATTTCTTTCTATTCAGCAATTAACTACAAATTTTTACTTGATTTATAATAATAACTCACTGTTTTGATTAAATATCGTAACTATAACTTCTTGCCCTAACTTCAGTTATGATTCTACTGAAATCTAAATAATTTTGTACATAATGTTTTATTTTGTGTGCAGTGGAATTACCCACTCAGTAACCTCAGAGATGCAGATTATCCAACAAGAAAACCCACTGGGGGCAAAGACCAAGAAGAGCCAGAGGTTTATAGATGATGAAGATGACGACACATCTTTCAGCTCTAAGTAAGACTTAAATTTCACAAAATTTTCTATTATTTGTAGTAAAATATTGTGTTAATAATAATAATAATATAAAATGCTATTGCTGTAGGGTCTTGTCGCGGTTTGATGATGAAACATCAGACAAATTCTCATCTCGGTGGGATGACAGCAGTGAAGGAGGAGGGTGGCTCAAGGAAAGCAAGAAACCAGAGCCAGACTTTTACATAACAACCCCCATATCAGCCCGCGATGAAAGGTTTGGACTTATTATTTGTGAAAAGTGCCATACTTATTATTGAAAATAAATAACACTCAAGTTGCTCATTATTTGTGTGAAATAAAAGCTATTTGTTATTTGAGTTATTTTCCTGCCATCTTAATTTTATGCCTAATCTTTCATATTTCTTCAAATTCATGTGAGCATTGTAATCATCAAAGTAGTTATACATGTTAAATTTGTTTTATTAGATCTACATCCAGGAGGAAAGCAGAACCAGTACCAGTCATGGATATAGGTGACGCTCAGAAAAAGTTTGGTGATGCCAAAGCCATTTCATCTGACATGTACTTTGGGAAACAAGACAGCAATGAGGTAAATGCACAAGGAGGTAAATCCGTGTTTAACCAAAATATGTATTATTCTATGTAAAGACATCACTGTACAAACCTATCTCTGTACACTGGGTTATAACTGTGAATAATGAATAGTCAAAATCAATACCCACACCAAGATGTACTTAACAAGAATAAAAGTGATGATGTTCTATTTGTTTCATAAAAACATTTCTTCCTTAAAAAAAATCAGATAGACTCTTGAGCTTGAGTATAATCAGCAGCTCTATCACATTTTGATGAAGACATATACTTATAGTATAGTGTTTTACTTTATAATGTATTAAATTCTTGTGTGTTTCTTTTAGTATGAAGCTAAAACGCGACTGGAGAGATTATCTGCTAATTCCTCCATAAGCTCAGCAGATTTATTTGAGGACCAAAAGAAACAAAGCGGTGAGTCACAATTTAAACAAAACATATCATTCAAAATGAAAAAGCAATAATTTATTTTGTACACACAGCAAGTTCATATCGGCTGACTAAAGTGCTGCCCAGCGCTCCTGATATGTCACAACTTAAACAGGGAGTACGCTCAATGGCTGGAAAACTGTCTGTGATGGCCAGTGGTGTGGTTAATACTATACAGGTAGAAAGGATTCAGTCTTGTCAAAGTTTTTGCACTTTTGAATTGTTTCTATCTTAATGTTTTGTTTTTTAGGATCACTATGGCTCCTGAGTGTCAGTGTTCTTGTCAATAATGGGGAGGAGACCAGTCAGTGCTGTAAGATAATCTATATAAACATGTTATGAAATGAGCAATCTTGTCCACTTTTGCAGCTAAATGTTGGGAACAAGAATGAACAGAAAATGACCTATGTTTATTTATCTTTACTTCTTGTTCAATCTGCTTATTAGATTTGTATCCGAAAGGTAAATGTGTCTAACATGTATATTTTATTTTTCCTTGTTGGTGGGTTTCATGATAGCAACTCTTATTGTTTGTCACTTTTGCACCTTTGTTTCAAAAGTGCACTTATACTTTTCTATACGAAGGACCAAAATGTAAGCTTTTGCAACTATATATAAATGAAGTGTAAAAGCACAACTTCATGAAGTAGCTATGGCGGTCGCCTTAAACATTACTTGGCCCCGTCATAAAATGTATTCTGTTCTGGTGTAGGTCAATTGCACTATGCTTTGCTTTGTTCAGTCTTGCTACAACGTTATGAAGAATGCTTTTCTTTTTTTTTCTGTATTTAATTGTCTAGACCCAAAATAGAAACGTTACTAGGTTATTAGGTTATGTTAATGATGTGTTAAGCTTTTCAGAGGAATGTCTTAATGTCCTAGGTCACAGACACTATGTACAAAATTTGCACATTTACATTAAGTTTATTGTGAGACTTTTAGATGTGATATTTGTTTCAACTTGATTGAAGCAGATAAAAAAGGGTGGTGCCTTTTTTTTTTTTTTTTTGCTTAAAACAAGTGACAAGTTACCCAATTGAGCTAAGAATACAGCTAAGAATACATGTTAGTGATACAGTGCTAAGAAAACCCAGTCAGCAACCAAAAGAATGTGAAATTGCCCTAAAACTTAACTCTTTTTTCCCACTTATATTACATTCTAAAAAAGATGACAGCATTTTATTGAGCAGGAGGAAGTATTGGCTGACCTTGTCTCTTTGTGTGTCCTCTTCTCTTTACAAAGTAAGGAGCAAACGGCTCACAGCTGTGCTGTTATGTCAAATCAGAACAATTTATTTTCCATGGTGGAATTTAGACATATTTCCATGATTCTTTTTATACTCTGAATAAATCCACCTAACTGAAATGTAATGTAATGCACTCAGCAACTGGCTAAATTACTGTTGTCAGAAAAAATAATTTGGAAAAATGATAATAAACCTTTATGGTTCATGTTCTTCGCGTGTTTGTATCCGGTTGTTTTAGTGTGATATGTTATTTGTTATAGGCCGTTTATTACAGTTATTTAAATTATTGGTAGTACCTGGCGCAAGCCTACGTGGCCAAGTGATGCATTTAGGTGCCTTAGTTAATTGCGAATTTAGTAACTTATTATGACTGATCCCAAATTTGAACAGTGTAGGCTATATATAGCTATTTGTTGAATTTGGTGTTTGTAAATACATGCATTAAAAAGTATGTATATAACTAATGCTTATTAACATTTTTGAACTTTTATTTTGGGACGATGACGTACGTAGAGCCAGCAGTCTAGTTTCCAACATTTTAATTACCATTGAACGCAGCATTCTGTAAAGGAAGAGAGTGGGGGACGCTGGTCAAGTTTTTTGCCATTTGGGCAAAAGAGGAAGAAGAACGCACTATGAACCCAGTTGCGCTGGAGCAGGGGGGATTTCATCTGTAAAGGGTTTTTATTTTGTATACGTTTGCGTCAGTTGTTTGTAACTCTGGATGTTAAAATGCCCAATGAGGTGAAGCAAAGGAAAAAGACCCAGCCACAGAAGCTCAGTGATGATACGCCTGAAACAGTGGCAAACGGTCCCGGGGAAGACCAGAAAGTGAAAACGGCAGCTGGACAGGTCCCTTCAGGAGAAAAGAAATCTTCTGCCGTGGATTTCAAAGGCATTTTGTGTATACTGTCGCTCGCAGCCTGTGGTATTCTGAGTTGGTAAGCCAGTTTTGCCCATAGAAATGCGGTGTTTTACGGTGTACACAGTGTTAACTATTTGCGCGTGTGTTTTAGGGTTGTGCTACAGCAGAATGAGAGGTTTTCTGAAATTGAAGAAAAGTTCCGACTTTTACATGACGAAACCTCGCCTCTGATCGCCATGGAACAAGAAATACAAACCATTTCTAAAAAGGTACGTTGGATTTTATAACATCAGTTGTTTCAACTTGGCAGAGCCACATTAGTAAACTACAACTTATTTTGTGCGTAGTCATATAGGCCTAAGCTTCTGTGTGCAAATGAAGTCCAACTATGAGTCTAGTGATATATTGCACACTTATTTGTTACTGAGTAAGCTGTAGATTATAGAGCTCCTACAGAAACAGCCCTCCTGTTTTGTGTTGCGGCTGCAGCTGGCAGCTTCAGAGGACGACCTCCAGGTGGCGCTATCTACTGTTTCCGTGGCATCAAAACTTCAGCAGGACATCTCAACACTTCACGCGGCAGTGATGGCGGTACAGGCTGATGAGAAGTCTGCCTCCGGTGATCTACAAGAGGTCAACGCAAACTTTCTGAATGTGACTGAGACTTGGCAGCAGCGTCTTGGTGTGATCAACTCAGATTTGGTGGCACTAAAGTCGGAGTCCCGGGATGCTCACACTGAAGCCACAGAGAAGGTGAATGAGGCTGAGCGCAGAGTTAAGTCCCTGGAGAAGAAACTGGAGGAGCTGGAGGACAGCACCAAGAGAAACGCCCGAGCTCTAGAGCGCACGGAGGAGGACGATGTGAAGCGAGCTCAGGACCAACTTGACTGGAACACCAAACAGATCCAAAAACTGAAGGACCAGATCACTGGCCTAGCTCTAAAAGAGACTGAACTAAGCTCTCAGCTCCAGGAACACATCCCCAAAGCAGAGGAGTGTGAACAGCACCTGCCCAAAGTGGAGGAGGCGGTCCGTTCCATTGTGAGACTGGCAAGTGATCTGAGCGGGACTGAGAAAAGACTGGAAGAACTGACTCTCCAGGTTTTTGGCACAGAGGACAGTATGCTCAAAGCCCTCAATGAAATCCTTCAGATCAGGCAGGAGCTGGACACTCTACATGCTAAAAACAGCATTCTGAAGATGAAAGATGAGCTATCTGTAGTGAAAGAGGCAGTCCGCGAACTCACTCTGGTGTTGAGACAAAACAATGATGAGAATCAGGTAGAGTCTGTCAGTCAGAAGGAAGAGGAAGAATGGACCCATGATGATGAGGAAGATGAGCCATGGGAAAATGATGAAGAAGAGCCTCTACTGTTCACTGATGACCATTTGCAATAATATATATACATATATCTATATCTATCTATATATATATATATATATATAGAGAGAGAGAGAGAGAGAGAGAGAGAGAGAGACAGATAGATAGATATAATAATTTGTCATTACTATATGTCTATCTTGTTCCAGTGCATACATTTTAATGATGTTGATGTTATTGTTTAATTTAAAAAAACAAAAACAGAAAAGTTCACTGTCATTTTTACTGAGACTGGACAAAGTTGCTATTTCCTATATTTTGCTTTAATTCTACAATTCAATAAAACATACATTTGACTAAATATGTACATTTATCTTATTTCAATAGCCCAATACAATTTCTCCTTTTTAACTTCCTTGAATAACTTTCACTCCCACTTCGTTACTGCTGAATTTCAGTGTGAGAGAGTGCAGCTAAAGCTGGAGAGACTCGGGGCTCAGAAAGGGCTGGGGTCTGGACTGAAACTCTTGGAGCAGGACGTGATCCAGTTAAAAGAGTGGGCCTTTGGAATCTCGGAGAAACAATCCCAGCTCCAAACCAGCCTCACTGCACTTAAAGCCGCTGTGAGGCAGATTGAAGAGCGCACATCTGTTATCACAAAGGACTTCACGAGCAAGGTAATAATGTTCGAAATATAATCATGAATAGAGGCATACTTTTATTTTCTTAGTAACTATCAGGATGAATGTGCTTCTGTAGGTAGCCTCAGTGCGGACAGATGTGCGCAGGATGGATGGGCTCCGCTCAGAGCTGGAGTCTCTGCTCTCTCAGGTGGGAGTGCTGGAAGACAAGGCAGTGCAGGTGGAGCATTCCATGGTCAAACGAATCGGGGAAGTCCTGGCTAAGAGCATAGACAGAGTGTCCAATCTGCGCTCTTCTTCCGAGCGCAACAACAAGGCCATAGAGCAGCTGCAGCGACGTATCCCTGAGCTGGTCTCTGCCGACAGGAAGCTGGCAGAGCGGCTTAGAGAGCTGGAGGGTGTGAGAGCAAAGGTAATACGAACTGTGACATTCGCCAGTGATCTCAAACCAAAGGTCTTCACGATTAAGAGGGATTTTGGGGTGTTGGAGCCTCAGCTGGCAGACCTGACTCTGCGAATAGGACAACTGGCAGAAGACCTGACCAAAAGAGAGCAGGAGATCCTGGAACTGAGACAGACACTGTTGAATCTCACCACAGTAGAGAGTGAACTAGGGCATGCAACAAAGCATGTCAGTGAAATTATAAATGACTCTGATATTAAAGTGGATAGGCCGACGTGAACATGTACAACCGCTGCTTTATTTATGTTCACCTTGGGCCTGTGGCAAATGCACTGACCTTTACTTGGTGATGGTTGTTACAAGGGTTGCTTTTCAATTACACACTGAAATGTGAATAAACAACATTTCCCATTCCATTTAAAGAGTTTGCTTCTTGTTTCTGACCATGTGATGTAACTTGTACAAAGTCCAAACAGTATTTCATGCGTAAAAATTTTATAAAACAGAAGATTGTGCCATAGAGACAATTAAGGAAATACAAATATTACCAGTAATTTATAAACCAGTTCAGGTACAAAATATGAAATATACTTGGATGTTATGTGAATATGTAAAAACATCACAATAGCCCCATTAGCCTTTTTTCCACTGTTAGTGCAGAGAATACTCAGGAAAGTTATATAGGAACCTTGAGTGGACACTAGATGGCGTACCCTGGGAGGCAGTGATTACACGCTTTTACTTGGTAGGTCATTTAACTAAAGAACAGTGTGAAATTTGTCTTTTTTTCATTTACAAAATAAGTGATTTATGCCTCTTATAGTAGTAAGGCTTATTCACACCTGGATAACATTGCTTATCAATTATTCATCCTCCTGACAACATGTCATGTACCCAAACAAACACATTTTATGTTGCCTCTTTTATTGCATCAGGTTCACATTAGATTTTGGTTTTGACTTTGTGTATGATGGTTTTTGTTTTTTTTTATCTCTGACCTAGAGAATTTCTTCGACTATACTGCTGATATGTTTTGATTTGTCTATTAATAATAATAAAAATCTTGTGTGAGCAAAGTGTGCAAAGACTTTGAAAACTTTTAAGTAACTTTCATGAAATATAAAAATGACACAATAGACGGGAAGGGTTTTATTGTAAAAAAAAAACAAAAAAAACTGGAGTGATCTAAACACAACTTATTGCAGCTCAAACATAAATTGAACATAAATCCAAAATAATAAAAAAAAAATTTACAGAAAAAGAAACAGTGCAGAATGAGTTTGAATTTCACAGATCAGCAGTCCAACATCCCTCGCTCTCTCATTCACTTCATTTTAACGTTTAACTGAAACTGTCACACAGTGGCCCATGATTTGGGATGTTATTAGTTGTAATGCTATAGAGCTTTCTCTACTCTGTGACCTCTGGAGGTGTGGATAGACTGGCCAGTGTTTGTGTGGTCTCCTCTAGTGTTTTCTGAAGAGCAGAAATGGCCTCTTCGTGGCCTTCTAGTTTGGCAGCCTTCCTCTCCAGACTATTGACCAGGCTCTGTAGGCTCTCCAGCTGCTCGGGCCTCACGCTGCCTGCACTGCTGCTTTCAACAGCCTCTAGCCGTTTCCCCAGATCTTCCACCTGAGCACTGAGGCTGGAGTCAGAGGAAACCTGTTTGACCTGACTGTTAGTATCAGACAGGCTGGACTGTAGCTCCTCCACAATGCTTTTTAATACCACTAATTCCTGCTCAAAAGTTGTTTGCACTTGCTTTGCCGCGTGATCCTGAGCTGCCAGTGTGCTCTCATATGTGTCACACTTGGACAGAAGAGACTCCACTTTAGTGGTGATGTCAGAGAAAGCAGTGGACAGTGTGTCCCCACTCTCCTCTGAGGCTTTGACTCTAGACTCGAGTTCATCCGATCTTTTTAAGGTTTGTGCTGTGGCTTCCACCAGCTTGCTCTCCACACTACGGACAGCCTCGGCTGTCTGCTCCACTCGTGTTTCTATAGTTATACTGGTGTCTTTCACTGCCTGGACACTTAACTCAGCTTCAGTGAGGGAGCGCTTCAGCTGTCCTATGTTCTCATGCATCGATGCCCGCACCTCTTCAATTTCTTGGGACAATGAAGCTACTTCCTGGTTGCGTGTCTGCAGCTCCTCCCTTACTGAGTTTATCTGCTGCCTGAGGGAGTCCACAGAAGCATCAGCTTCCTCCTTTGCAGTTTTTATTTCAACCACAGAGTCCACAATTGCAGAAAGCTCCTGTTTAACCAGAGCAGGATCTTCCATGTCCCCAAGCCGTGCCTTCAGTTCAGAAAGTTGTGTCTGTGCATCTCCCTGAGCCTCTGTGAACTCTGTCACACTGGCCTTGATGGACTGACTCACTTCTGCCAGCCGCTCCTCCACTGTCCTCTCCAGAGAGGAGAAGTCCTTTTCGCGTGCTTCTTTCACTTCAGCCATGCCCTGGGACAAGTCCCTGAGAAGATCATTCTGAAGCTTGTGAAGGGCCTCCTCCACCTTCCTGGTCTCCACCTCCCCCCTTTTCATCCTACTGATGGCCCCCTCCATCTCCCCCCGAGTGATGCCCAATGATGACTCCAGGCCCTCCACCACACTCTGTAGAGACTCCACCTGGACACAGAGACAATATAAACTCTGATTATACTGCAGCGTGAATAAACTCTTTAAACTGCATAGAGTGTATTTGAAATGTGTGAAAATGTATGTATTGTTTTGTTTACACAAAGTTAGACTTGTCAAAGCAAATCTTGAAGTATAAAAGGTTTTGTTGTTTTAATAAACAAAGTTTCAGAATGCACACGCCCCCCCAAAAGTACACAAAGTTCTAGAGCTACAATCAGCAAAGATGACACATTATACAGACTTAACGATGAATTAAAGTATATAAAAAACATGGACACTAACTTGATTTTCCCGTGCATTTATAGTTTTTCTTTTTTTTACACAGTCATTAATTAAAGCTGCTGAAGCATAACTTACCTGTTGTGCCACAGACTGCATTTTCGTGATGAGCTCTGCGTTTTGTTGTGCGCTTTTCTCATGTTTGGCGCTTGTTTGACGAATTTCTTCCATTACTTGCTGCAAATGAAAAGCTGCATACCCTGCGGCCCCTAATAATGTGACATAAAATACAGCAGATAGAAAGAAGCCCAGGCAGCTCCCGGAGCTGGAGCCCTGGGTTGGGGAACTGGTGGTCCCGTTGCTGGAAGTTTTTTGGTTCTTCTTTGGTACATCTTCTTGACTTGGTACAGGGCTCTTCTCAGTGGTACTGTTCTTGTGCCGATTTTTTGCAGTCATGTTTTACAAAATGTAATTCTACTTAGGTTATTTGGTGATTGGAGGGATGCGAACCTGTCTGGCTGCTGCTGCTCCTGCCGCTGGTTTTGCAGTCGTGGATGAGAGCGGTTTGAGTCCAGGCCCACCAGAACAACAGCGTATCAGTGAACGCGTCGTGTCTTTCCCCAGGCCTTTTCTGCTGAGGTATGCGGATGGGGGCTGTCCCATGTTAAGTCCTGGGCCCACGGCGAGCAAAACCAATGAATGATTTCTGCTCTGTTTTACGCTGAAAGATAACAGCTTTCCCGTGTCACAAACAATTGTATAATTCACTTTTCAGTCTTTTCACTTATTGCCTACTTCATTGAGATATCTTGCCCAATATCAGGAGTTATAACATTGCAATAAAGTAGGACTTGTGAGTCAAACGACAAGGACCTATAGGGTGCAAAAGCATATTTTTTCGTGCAGCTGTGCGTCAGAAGCAGCAGGCCTATAGATGCGCAAGACTTGTGCTGGGTCACACTGGCTCCTCCTTTCATACGTGGCAACTCAGCTTTCTGGACACACATACTTCTGTGCGGCATTGGCATATACAGTGCTTTGTTTAACTTTAGATAAAAGAGAGAAATGAAGTATCCCTCCCTCTCCCTTAAATCATGCGTATCGTGTATTCGAGTTCTAACTTAAACTAATAGACCTAATGATAAAATCTTGCTATCACTTTAACGATTTTCACAAAATTTACTTTTCCCCTTTTTTCTTTTCTAAAGATAAACGAACAAACAAAAGTCATATGCTCACATAGGCTATTTGCAATTCTTAACTCGTCTTGTTTCTTGGGCAAATAAATTCACGTGCGTTATCCAGGGATACTGAAAATATTATCTAGAGAAGCTGGCACTGCCAATCATTAACACTAGGTGTCAGTATAGGTGAATCGTAAGCCAACTGAAGAGTTTGAGGGTATTTCCCATGGATCTGTTAAAATAAAGTATTTCCATCTCAGGTTGTCATAGCCTATGCATTTTTTATGTCCAAAAAAAAAAAAAAAAAAAAAAAAGACGGAAATATAAACTCAAAATCAAGAATAATTCACAAGGCTATTTGATATCGGAATCGGAAGAGCATAATTGCTCTTCTAAATATTTGAAACTGTTCATATGCTTACTTGTTTACTACCCTGTATTATATCAACTTGTAATCTTATTTATTGTATTTTAATTTATTTCCTCAGATTCCATTGATCACTGATCCCTGATTGAGCCCGGTCTATATATAGATTCATGACCCAGTCTTGTCTCTGTTAAAATAACCTGGTGTCAGATCATGGATCCGTTAAAAAAACAATACAGATATTTCCTACGGGCCATGAACGACACGCGTGTCTCCTCCCAGACGCCGTGACGTAGCCGCACTTCTTCCTCTCCTCAGTCGGTGGCTCAGGCGCATAGATACTATGGGCTCAGGTGTGATGTAGCAGTGAACGGGACGCTGAGGAGTTTGACCATCGATACATCTGTGCGCAATGGCTTAAATAAACGATTACAAAGTCGCCATCGTTTCAGTGGCACTCGAATGGCTTATTTTATTTTCCCTTCTCACTTCTTTTCCTGTGAACGAAGCGGGCACAGAGCTAAGATGAAGACTGACAGCGACATGAGCAATTGAACTGTTTACCCCAAGAGGAGTAAGCTAGCGGTCTGGCTAGCCCCTTAGCTTGACAACCATTACACGCAGTGACAGCTTGGATAAAACGATACAACAATGGCCGGACTGATCAAGAAACAGATCCTGAAACATCTGTCCAGGTTAGTATGTGCTAGTGGTCACATTTAAGCAGGGAGCCCACCGGGATGCAGCAATCTACTGCCAAAGTGCTGTTAGCTAGTCTGCATCCACATCCCTGCGTTACTTATTGTAGGCGCTTTTTGCTTAAAACCAGTTTAAAACACTGAATCTCTTGCCACTTTGTATGTGCTTTTACATAGGTGTAGGTATCACTTCTGTAAATCTGTGTAGACGTGTTAGACACTGCTAACACTAGCATTGCTGCTAAACGTTGAGAGGCTTATCCTTTTACACTACAGCAGGTTGAACCAGTTCTGATTGACTCAGGTATTTTCAAGCTGCAATCTCAGTCGTACCTTAAAATCAGGTGACAATAGCATCACATTACGTGGTTAGTTTATATCTTTTAAACAGGTGATTGTATGAAGCATTTGCACAAGGGCAGTATGTTTACATATACACTGTGTTAAAGGTGCTTCACACAATCAAAGTGACCTGTAATTTCCCTCTCAAGCACCTGCTATCCTTGAACCCCGGTTGGCTTAAAAGTCGTTTAGTTTCTGTTGATAGCTCATGTTAGAGTGGGAGACTATTTCTCCAGTTTTATATGCATTATTAATTGGTTTCCACTGTCCCCCTTGGTGGCATTTAAAGGCACTACTACTTGTATTATTTGTAATTCGTAGAAAAGGGGAGAGCAAGTACTGATACTTCAGACTTGCGCATTAAAGCTAAATGACTGCTTCAGTTCCCAGCATTTAAGTATTTAATTAGTAAAAAGTGTTTAACTTTTTTTGCCTTGTACTTGTATTTTTCTACAAGCCTTTAGAGTAATAACAACGACTGTATGTCCAACATATGGCTCATGATTATGCAGACAGACTGGTTTCTAACACTGTATGTGTCATAGTGCTTAGTCACTACTAGCTTTAGTAAACGCCTGTGTGAGCATTGATAAGACAATCCAATTACAATAATTATTAATAGTTTTTCATTGAATTGCATTATAACAGCATATATTGCTGTAGATTTTAATGTCTGCTGTACATTGCAAACAAATACAAATGCTAGTATGCCCTTCATTGCCCTTTTGATTGGCATCCTTGCCTTTGTGTGTGGTGGCAGCAATACTTCTGTTTTCACTGAAATGTTTTTCCCGTAAGCAACTTTACAATAAACAGTGACTGTCCTGCTGCCATTGAGTGTAACCATAACACTGTGTTTAGCTCCAAAGTTTCATCTCACAGAAAATCAACACCATCGCAATGTTAATCATAAGGGCTATTAATACAAAAATGTAGCAAGAGACTAGCATGTTTAAATGACTGGCTGCAAGTGCTTTGGGTTTGGTATGAGTCTAGAGAGAATCCCTCTAAGTTCAAACCACCAGGATTTCAGCAATAGAACTGGACACACAATTGACATCATTCTACATTCACACTGCACAATCATCTTGAGAACTAAAACACCAAAATATAACAAACAACTTGGCCATCGTGTACATTTGTACTATTATAATTAACACCAAATCAGTATTACAATTATCAGTAAAAGCTTCTTTCTATCAAGGGATATGTAGTTTTTATGGAAATTAAATTCAGAATCTTATTGTTTTGGTTCTTTTAACACAAATACATGTAAAATTCAAGTTAAGTCTAAACTCTGCTCTAAACCAAATGCTTTTACAGACAGACAAGTGACTGTAGACCTCTCAGTAAAAAAAAAAATATTGACATAGAAATGACTGAAACTCTGTTAAAATGTGATTTTATTCACAGCTCTAGTCTGAAAGAATAAAATGTCTATGTGAAGTTTGTGGCCATAGACTCCCCACTCCACACTCACTGGCGATGATGCAGCAGTGTGGAGGACCTCTGTATTTGCGTTGCTGTTGTTCAGATGCACTGAAGAGCTTTTATGGCATGACTCATGACTGAGGCGTACTGTGGGTGTCTTCGACTCTGCAGCTGGGAGACTGAATGCCTGCTCAGCGCTGCTCTTGTGTATGTGCTATGTCTGAAATCGATGCCACAATATTAGTGATCTTACACTGTATACTATGATTTCTCAGTACCAGTGAAGTGACTACATATTAGACTGCAGACTTCTGTAATTGCCTGTGTTTTTCTATTTCTGTAATATTTTATGACTGACTGCATAGCGTCCCATTCAGGTGTACTGGTTCCATGTAGTGAAGCCATAGAGACTACCATAGAAGTTGCAGTTAATTGAAATACTGTGCTTATTCTGCCAATCTCTGATCACACATTATTCTCACTTAACTAGACTTAATGCAGGTCTACCCTTTAAGCTTAGGGACATATTCTCTTAGCCAGGCTGGCGCCACCTAGTGCCTCCACTCAATTTCATTTCTCTCCAGCGACTAGGTCAGGAATCGAAATACACTAGACGGTTCGCAGAAACCCTGGATGTGCGGGTTCAGGCACCAGCCAATCAGCGAAGAGCCACCCATTTTGTGTTGTCAGAATGTATGTATGAATGTATGGTGAATTTTATCAAGGGGAAAGATGTTATTGCCCTTCTTCCAATGGGATTTGGAAAAAGCTTAATATACCAGACACACGTCATAACCAAATAGCAACAATTGCTTAAATGAAAAAAGTACCCTCCTACCGTTGAGCGAACGAATACTTACACTGCAAGGTCAGACAGTTTCTACGCAGTGAAACTGCCTGATGAATCAGGCTATCATTTTCTTTCCATCGATTCTCAAATCTCCAAAACATTTTAACATATACATGGGACTTATATAGCGCTTTTTTGGACACTCAAAGACGCTTTACAAACAAATAAAAGTAACACTGTAGAAAACGGGGGAATCATAGGGGGAATGCCAGTTTGAACAGGTGACTTTTTAGATGTGAGTTGAATTGCTGCAGTGAGTTCGAGTTCCTGATGGATTGTGGGAGTGAGTTCCAGAGGGAGGGGGCGGCAGCGGCGAAGGCTCAGTCCCTCAAGGTCCGGTGCTTTGTCCTGACGAGGGGAGTGAGGAGGTTGCTGTTGGCTAATCTGAGGCGGCGGGTGGGACAGTGCAGACAGAGGAGGTCGGTGAGATAGGGAGGGGCCAGGTTATGGAGGGACTTGTAGGTGATGAGGAGAACCTTGTATTGGATGTGGTATTGTACAGGGAGCCAGTGGAGTTGCTTAAGGACAGGAGTGATGTGGTCTCTGGAGTGAGTGTGGGTGAGGAGGCGAGCGGCAGAGTTTTGAATGTATTGTAGTTTTTGGAGGTGGGTGGAGGGGAGACCAAACAGGAGGCTATTGCAGTAGTCGAGTCTGGAGGAGATGAATGCATGAATGAGTATTTCTGCGGTGGGCTGAGAGAGGGAGGGGCAGAGATGGGCGATATTGTGAAGGTGGAAAAAGATGTTTTAGTGATGTGACTAATATGGGCTCTGAATGAAAAGTTAGGGTTCATGATGATGCCAAGGTTGCGTACTGAGGGAGAGGGGGTAACAGGTGTGGCCATTGAT